ATTTTATACAAAAATTATATATCACAATTATATCAACATAAAAATATAAAATTTATTTTTTAATTATGTTAATTTCATATATAATTATTGTTAAAATTTTAAATCACGTATTTTATTTTCATATCGTGTTATTGTATCGTATTTTAAATTGTCAAATCTATATCTAATGATTGAAATAGTTTTCCCTTATTTATTTAATTGATTAAAAAATTGTCCCTATGATGAGGCAGCAAAATAACATTTACTTATTCACTTGAGCTTAATTATTATACCTTTAGATGATTGAACCTCTATTTGTTAAAATAAAAAAATAAAAAAAAAACTTCTTGTTTATGTTTAGGCACTATATATACCAGACTTGTGAATTAATCCCCACTTATTGATAGTCATAGAAATAACCAATTATATTTTCACAAAAATTTGACTTGTTCCCCTCAAATTAATTACATGCCTACTCGAATAAATAAAACAAGCATACAAGCTAGTTGGATTGACATATGTACTTAAAAATTTTGTATTGAAGCTATCAAAATATACGTGGTGCAAATTGTTTTTAATACAATAAAACTCCCAAGTGGGCAAATATCAATATTTTTAAAGCCTTTCTTGACATAATTGATTGACAACCCGCAGTATATAGTTATAGCAAATAAATGGTAATAGGAAGGAATCAATACTTACTAGCATTTTAAACCAAGAGATTTAGGTAATCATTCAGGATTTTTAAATCAAATAACATCAGAAACCATATCCAAGATAGATCATAAGAGTACTGGGATGTTGGTTTTATCGGTGGTATTTTCAATGATATAGGGAGACAATGAGGACCGAATTCATTGATAGTGCCACATTTCCAAGTCATCAATGGGGCCCTTGAAAAGGGTTTTCTTTCTTTCTTTTTTTTTTTTTTCTCCCAATTAATAAGCTGCCATATCCAAAAGAAACAGGTGTTGAATTTCTGCATCATCTTCCACATGTTGGTTAGGAGCTCTCCTTGCAGTTTCCAAGGTACGTCATTTTCCAGTTGTGCCAACACTCCATCAGCTTAATCATACAATTCTTAGAGACTTCTTGCATATAAAAAATATGCAAGAAAATCTTCCACCTAAGCTAAACATGGATTTAAGGATTATTTTTCCTTGGCTCAGCTCTCTGCAGAACTGATTAAAGAGATCTAGGCATCCTCAAAGTATGCATTTTAGTATATATTTTTGTTAAAACGCACATGATCCACCAAACATATAAGCTGTACAATTAGTTGAATATATATATATATATAATATAGCTTTTTACACATGCAAATATTGTGGATAATTTCTAATTTATTAAGAATTTGGAGTTGTTGGCATTGTATTGCAAGCTAGGAAGGAATAAACACAGGAATCTTAACAATGGGGAAATTAAATTTAAAGATATACAATGAAGAATCCAATAGATATTACTCCATGGAGACTCAACGTTGAATAGCACCATTCTTAAATAAATGTGGCTCAAAGATACAAAACTTAAGCCTCAGCACTTTTATTTGCTGCAAGATCAAACTTCAAGAAGAAAATTTTTGTAACATATTAAACACATGCATTAAGGACATTAATCTCCACATTTCAGGAAAATTTGAGTTTAGATTTTGTTAGTGACACATTATGGTATAAAATATGATCCATGACATTTGCATGGTTGATCAGAATGTTTTCACATAGCTTCTACTATTTTAATGTAATTTAATTGGAGGAAATCAAAGCACACCAAAATGGAAAATCAATATTCTAAACTTCTAGAAGAGACTTGAAGTTGCAATTCCCTGCTTTGGTGCAATGAACAACTGATCCTCCTCTCATAAAGGGCCTAACTTTTCATTTTCAAACATATATATATATATATGTATGTATTAGATTAAAAAAAATTGCAAAGTTATGGCTTTAAATGTTTTTTTTATAAATATGGTACATATCTTTCTTGCGAAATAATGGGGCAATGGCATGCATGATCTGACTTCTTTTTATGCACTTTTCCATATCATGTCAATTGAAAACCCATTTGCAATAAGAAACGACCATATACATTGTTTTAAACAAGAAAGTTTAAATGCAAAAAAGAATGTTAATAGTCTAAAAGTTGAGATCACATATCACACTAAGTGATGGTGGATCAATCTCTTCCAAGAATCTTAGGTTTTCAAGTCCTGCATATAATTTTTACCTTAAAAGCTAAGATATATACCTAGACTTTATTCTCCCACATCTCTTAACCTTAACTGTAAATTTGAGGAAAAAAACGAAAAAGAAATAAACAGATAAAGAAAAGTAAAAAAAAAATTTTAAACTTAATTTAGTAGATTTATACAATTATTCTTGAGAGATTACATCAAATGAAAATATAATTCGAATTATAATATTTGCAATTTCTTTTTAGTTTTATCTATGACCTTCTTTATTAAAAAAAAAAATTTATTGAATTAGAAGAGTAATATTTTGGAGCAAGTCCCAAAGAAAGGTTGAATCTCATATAAAATGGGATTCAGGAGGCCGGAGTGAGAGGCTGCTTCCTTTGGATGGTTTTATTATAATAAATAGTAATAAATAAATAAACTATATACACAGAGCGATTTCTTAGGGATTACATTTGCTTTGCAAATCGTGTGAAGTAATGCAACCTGTAAGGGTTTGCATGTGCCCACAAATCTATAGTAGATATGATGTTCTCTACATCTCTCTCCACTACACTTTGTCTTTGTTTTTTTCTAATATTTTATCATTGCTCTAACTACATCACTCATCAAATCAACACCAAATCAACATAATCCCCTTTTTTTTTCTACTCTGTTTATACATTTATTACTTCCATATAACATTATATTAAGCATATAATTATTACAATGTGGTTTAAAATATTAAGCCATCCCAAAATATATTAATTTATAATTTCTTACCTATATATATATTCTTTGGGGGTCGGTTGGTCTTACCAAGTTAAATCCCATGAAGACTTTCTGGCAGTTTTAGGCTTAGGTTAAGCTTTACATTGGTTATCAGCTGCATATGTTTACTTCTTCATTAAAATTTAGCCTATAATTTTATATGATTTATTCTAATTAATGATTGTTAACTTGGATTTATTGAAATTTGAAAGAATATTCATGCATCATCATCGAACGATTACACATGACAAAATGCTATTAATGAATTCGTGATAAATTAATAATTTTATTATTTTAAAAAGATATTTTTTGTCGATCATCTTATTCACGACATGAAATTAAATAAAGTATAGTTGAAAATAATAATTTTTGCAACAAAGCTATAGCATTGGTAATCGAATAAGTTTTATTTATTGGACCGCATGCAGAGAGACCATAAGAATAACAAATTCATGAAACAAAGTAAGTGTTGGATTTCTGTGATACATGTTTTAACCAATATTTTTAGGATGTTTTATTAATAATATCCGAATGCTCATTTGTTTCAAGCATCTTTGGGAAAAAAAAAAAAAAACCAAAAATGACGTGGAGAGTGGAGAAGCTCAATTTTATATAATTAATTAATAAACCTTTGAATTGGGATTCATAATTTGACCAATGATGCCACGCCCCTATTTGACTTATACTTAAAGCTTTTAATGTTGTAAAATTCAATAGCAAAATTTATCTTCTTTATGTATAAGTACCCATTCAATGTATGTATTTTAATGAAATCTCATATATCGATGCATGGCATAAAATCTCCATCATAAAGCCTTTTTTTTTTCTTTTGAAACAATCATAAAACTTTGTTTGGTTTATCTGCATTTTCATAAAACTAATAGATTAATTAAGAAATCACAACGTTACAATCAATTTTAGTTGTTTTTTTCTTCAAAAGTATAAAAACCAATAGATTTATTTTTTGCAAATTAAGAAACAAGAGATATGAACTTATAATGAATAATTTTGATATATTAACTATTTTGTGTTTAACACTTTTAAAAAATTAGCATTTCTACATTTGATTGGATAATTAATACATAATCTCTTTATTTAAAAAAGCAAAATTCAAATATATTTAAAAAAATAATAATTGGAAGACTTTGGGATGAGCTTGTGTGACCAGTTTCAAAACCTATATATGGCAAAACTACTAAAGTCTCCAATGTATGATGAGTTTAAGCGGTGGGTATTACATATTAAACGGTGGGCATTACATATTATAAGATCATATATATATATATATATATATATATATATTTTAGTGGGAAAAAGAGAAGATTTTGGCTGCATTTGCACAGCAAATTCCATAGTTTGGGAGGGATCTATGGGGGTTTCTTTGGTAATTGCAAGAGTTCACATGTCTTTAATTATAAGAAATTGGAAGATTCTCACTTTCCACCACACAAACAACTCATTAAATATGACCCACAAATCATGTGTTAAACAGCTCAATTAGATTTGCTTCCCTTTCCCCAATTCTAATTATTAACATTATATCTTTTGGTCAAATAAGCCACAATTAATATTTGGAGAATTGAACTCTTTTAAGAAATATTATTTCATTGAAGGCTCTCTTTTTTGTGAAAACATTCAAAACAAAATTTCGAGATTGATACAACTTTGGATATAATCCCAAGTATATCTCTTTAATTTCTTCTCAAGAAAGAGAATCCCAGTAAAATGCAAACATTATTTCCATAATCTATAATTAAATGTCATTTGGTCTAACTTTATAGTAATTTTTTCCCTACGCCTTTATTTTATAGTAAAAAATTAATTTCCTTTGCCTAATTAACACAGTTTTTTTGTGTTTTGCTAGCTTAAAAACTGATATCTTATCATTTAAAAAATGGACTCTCAGAGGAAGATAAGATAGAAAATCAAAACTAAAAATTCTTACATGAACAGCAAATACAAGCAAATACCATAGATCTCTAGCTTCACTTAGACATGAAAATTCTACTCTCAAAAATGCTAGCGTTACGTTCTTCTTAAGGAGCGTGAATTGCACTCTTGCCGCATAGGTGAAGTTGAAGCTATCAACTACTCAATGCACTTCAATGGCGCGTAGGGTTATAATTTTTTGGCTAACGCAATTTTGAAAGAGACAATCGCTTCAAAGTCCATTTAAAACTAGTAAGAAATTAAAGAAAATTATAATTAATAGTTTATTTTTTTATGAGTGATATATATATCTAATAATTCTTAACAAAATCTGATCCAGCGATGCAATAATTATATAGGTGCAAGCAGCTTAAAAAGGGCAGTGGAGATCTCTGATTCTTCAGCAGCTCTCGTAATTGCCAGAAAGTTTTGCTGCAAGAGAAAACTTGGGATTTGCAAAGCTAAACTATCTATCTTTTCTCTTCTTAATCTCTTGTCGTTGTTGTTTCTCTTTCTTTGACATAAATATCCCTAAAAAAGAGAAGATGGATAGCAGTTATTTTGGAGAACCAAACATGGGAAATGAAAGAGGAGGGTCGTCGTCTTCAAGAAAAGGCAAGAAGAGTAATTCAGATAAGCCTAAGCAACCCCAGAGAGGGCTTGGTGTTGCTCAATTGGAGAAGATCAGATTACATGGACAAATGGGTTGTAGTTACCATCCTTCTCTTCATGGACCTTACACTGGAAATTTCAACCAGGTAATTAACTTTTCACTCTTTTGTCTTTTGCCTTCCTTAACCCTTTCTTGGTTTTTTTTGTTCTCTGATTCAATGATTGTATATCAGACTATATCAGGGTGAAGTTTTTTATTTGAGTTGTGGGATAAATTTAATGAAAAAAAATGTTTCCGTATGCAGGAAGACATGAGAGTGCAGACAGCTTATCCATCTGTGCCATCATCATCTCCATCAACTTCCTCAGCTTCTTATGGTTTCCAGTACCCCAGCATGATGGTAGGTGAACTTGTTCTAATTTGTTGTCTCTAAAGAGTATACCATTAAATTTCTTTTTCCTCTTTTTTCCATCCAAAAAATTGTTGGGTTTTTCACGTGATTTTCTGCGTGTCACCCATTTGCAACTGCTGTTCCTAACAAATGATGAGGTATAGTCTTTTGCTGTAGAGGAGAAAACATGGCAAAAAATTTTTGGTGGATATAGCAATATATATGTTTTCCATCATCATCATCATGATCGCAGAATACAAGTCTAGATGGAAATAGTTACAAAAACAATTCTCTTTTCTTTCTGATTTTTATCAAAATGGTCTTGTACATGGATCCTTTGAAGCTGCTAATAATATTGCTTACTTTTTGGTGCTAACCCTAGACACTAGTTCTCCCAGTATTATTATCCATCGATAATTATATTGGTGAATAGAAGTCTTGCAATGAGGGCAAGAAGAAATGAAGCTGAATTGATGATTGTTTATGTATTTCTGCATTAATTAGTATTCTCTACAGTCAGTCAAAATTTTACCTGATATTACAGATGGGGCTTGGCGAATATGATCAAAGAGCAAATATCAGATATGGTGATTCCCAACCCAGTACTACAGCAAGGTGCATATTTACAACTTTGCAGTTTCTTCTTAAAAGAAGCCCTTTTGGTGCAAATCTGATTTCCTCTTAGAAATATTTTTTTGCTTATAATTAATGTTTCCGATCATTTGCAACAGTTGGAACCCCGGCAGTGGAATCTTAGACTGTCAACATTTTGCACAACCAAACATGACTAGACAGCTTCTAAACCCACATGTTGAGGTGCTATACACATCCTCATGTAAATGTTAAAATGAAAACTAGTTCTCAAGATTCTGCTTTGTATCAACTTTAATTATTTTTTTTCCTTCCTTTTCCTATGGTCCTTGAAGGATTCACAAACAAAAAAGAGCAAGACACACCGGAGCAACTCATTGGGATCCAGCGGTCAGAGCTCTGAATCAAGTGACACGCAAGAGCTAGATTTGGAGCTCAGACTGTCATTGTAATCAGTAATTTTCTGCCACTTAAAAGCATGGATTGCATTTTATGGTTCCCTTAGAATTGTAAATTCAAGATATGCAGTTCACATACAAGTTGAGCAAGTTGATGAACTTGTTTGAATTTCATTTGAAAGGAATCTTTAGTAATTAAATGTAGATTGACTTGCTGCATGAGATATAGTGAAAATTTGATCTTCGTGTTCATGAATTGTCAAAGAAATGAGGATTAAAGTCATAATTCTCACAAATTTCAATTATTTTAACGCTAGCAGTCAGCATCTAACTGTAGCAACTTCTTGAAAATCAAATATAGTTAGCCACTTTATTCAATTAAGAAGGTAAAATGGAAATTAAGAATAAAACATGTCAAGGAAACTGTAGTTAACCAAAGTACGTACTGTCCAAGTGGGGATTAAATGTTCTCAATTAAGATAAAAGTGATCGATCAGGAATAACTTTGGATGTCTTTCACATCATTTTCTTCAAATACATGACCTTACCATGTGGCATTGTTGCAAACAACTGACCTCATAGTCAATTAGGTGCTTTGCCATTATACAATGAAAATGAAACTTAGATCAAAACCACTAGATAAGGGTTATGTCAAACAAGAAGAAAACATATCTTTCTTCACTTTAAACAAAAGCTCCGGATATGCTATAATACTTTGATGTTTTAGATTTAATAGGGGGTAGTAATTAATAGAGAAAGGAAAAGGTGAACTATATAGTTAGTTTACTATAGGGAATCGATACTTTCAATGTTATGCAATTTGCTTTCCTAGTGGCTCCCAGCTGCATTAACAGTTTTAATTTGGTTTTGGTTTGGAATCTTAATTTGATCTGATTTATGTATATGCTTTGAACAATGAAATCTTTATCAGAGAGAAAGTGAGAGAGAAGATATAAGCTATATGGTTTATTTTTCATATGAAATGTGTCAAATCTTCAACAATGCCCACAAAGAGAAGTGTCGGTACTGCTTGAGATCAGGTTCCGTACGCATTAGTGGAGTAATGTATTCCTTATTTAAAGTTTATAGATCACTATTCTTTTTAAGCAATATCACTTTTAGGGTTGGTTTCGATCATAAAGTTGATTACACATGCCCTAGATTAATCAGGCTCAGACGAAGAGGCAAAATCACCTGCATGAATTTCATAGCTTTTTCTCTTGAATTATGGCTTTTCTTGCGCCAATAAATCATGTAAAAGTTCTGACCATTTTGGATGATTAATTCAGAGGTAATATAGTAAAAAGAAGAATGTTTCTGTTCAATATTGCTCATCAATCAACTGTTAATGGAGCAGCATTGTGTATGTAATTTTTCACATGTGTTGAAGAAAGCAATCTCTTTATCCCTAATGCTTCCCTTTTATGAGCTATAATATGATGGCCTGTCAGATCAAACCTCATTTTTATCAAGCCTAGCTAGATAAAAACCCTATAACTTGATTAATTTCTTTGATTTTCCTTTCTTCTGCTGAGTTGAAACTTAGCCCTTAGCTTAAAATTTAACTGGCTCCAATCTTCATTTATAATTTATATCACATTTTGCTTGTTTGCCTCAAGAGCAGTACTGCATCACAAGTGACCTTGACCTGTTTTGTCTGCTTTCACTATACATAAAGTTGCCCACTTTAATATGCAGTGTAAAAACTATGAATGTACCCCAAGAAACAGCTGTATGAATATGTGATAATCAGTCATGAAGACCAAAAAGCTTATCAATTAAGATTGCTTTTGGGTAATCAAATCATAAACATAAGCCAAAATCACCCTCCTGATGAGGTTAATATAATCTTATCCTGAGAGCAATCGAAGGTGATTTCGTCAAATTGTGCAAAACACATCATCACTAACGACAATATTAAAGGGAACGATTGGATAAAAGGACAGATATTTATGTGGGGGTGATTTTTGGCATTACCTTGGCTTGTATCAATAAAACAAACTCACTTGCCCACATTTTTCATCATGGAAGAGACAGATTAACCTTTAAAGGGAAAATGAGGGTCTGTTAAATAAATCTTACTTTCCCAAACAAGAAAACAGGACATCTGGCTAAATAAACCTTAATTTCCCAAACAGAAAGTAACAGGAATATGTGCCCCTTTATGTGAACAAGAAAGGATCAGATTTCATTGCAAAGCCAATATAAATTGTTAATAATGGAAAAGATAGTGATTTAGGAAGCACTTTTGGTATAGATAACAAGCTTTTAGCCTGCTGGATTCTCATTTAGTTCTAAATTTACCTACAAGACACCTCCATTTTTTTTTCTACATTTTATTTTTTTATCAAAATTTTTAAGTGAAATTATTTAATTATTTTTTATTTCAATTTAAATATTTTTGGATATGTATTTTTGATAAATTATATAACTTATAGGATTTTCATATCTACCAAAAATTTTTTTAAAAAGTTATATCTAGATTTTAAAAATTAATTAAAAAAATCCCATAAAAATTTTTAAATTTTTGAATATGTAATCCGGAAACTTAAGACTAGAAAAGAATATCAAGAGAAAAGAAAATAACAATTAAGTAATTTTATTTAAAAATAATTTATAAAAAATGTGAAAAATAAAAAATGGGTATGAGTAGAATCTCCAATACAAACCATTGCAATTATCCATCAAGCCCCTGAACAAAAAAGTTTGGAACTACTGATAATATATAAAATGAAGACTTTTGGGAAGGCATGTGCACAGAGAGCAATTTTTTTTTTTTAATGTAATACGGGGCAAAAACCCGACTAGCAAAAGATATGATGTCAGAACACCAAAGCGGCAGCGTCCGCGATGAACATCATTTTAATTCCAGAAGGTGGTTCATGTACAGTGAGCAAATTTGCCTGGTCATCATCTGAGACTCTACCTCGCGCACAGAGGAAATGTCATTCAAAACCTAAAAGATAAGAAAGTTCTAAAATCTGCTGGAGGATAGGTGGTAAGTGGGCAGATGAGAAAAACATTTTAAAAAATCGAAAATTAATTTAAAATTATAATATTTGATTTAATTTAAATTAATTTTTTTTTATTTTAGTTTAGTTTAGATATTAAATATATATTAAATTTAGATTAGATTTTGAATTAAAAAATGAATTATATATTTTTATTAATTTTTATATATTTTTTCAAATTTTTATAAAATAAATTATTTATTTTATACTTAAATTTATTTAAATATATTAAAAATCAAATAAAAAATTAAATTTAAAAAATTGATAATTTAAATCAATAAAATTTAATTTAAATTGAATAATATAAAATTTTAATTTAAATCAAAATCAAATTTTAAAAATTTATAATTTTTGTATATTATTAAAAAATAACGAAACGTAATTCAATCGCATACTTATTGCTTGGAAGTGGGTAACTGTGACCGCCCAGTCAAAGGAGTGATTACCACAGCTAAATTTTCTTGCCTTTCGAGCCTGTGCGCAACACCATTTGCCAATTGCCCATCAAACTGTTTCCATTGAAATTTGCAAGAAATTGGCTTATGAGTATTTTGTCGCTAGTGATTAATCTCAATGACATGTTGTCCACTTATTTTTAGATTAGGTTGTTATGATATTGAAAATTAGGTTTAGAGTTTAGGGATGAGAACGAATTTATATGTGTAACATATTTTTTAATTAAATAATTATAAAAGTAGGTGTTTCAAGTAAATTAAGAATTAAAAAAAAAAGATCAATTCCTTCTTACAAAGAAAATTTAATCAGAGACTGAAATAGACCTTGTGCAATGTACTCTGTTGCCATAAATGTTGCTCATAATTAAGGATATTTGAAAGGAGACGACAAGGCACAAAGGGTTAAGACAAAAAGCGCCAAATGTTCGCTTATCCTTTGACTTTTCTGATGCTCAATCATTCAAAAGCCCCGGCCATCGCATAGCTTCCTGTGAATGGTCCTGTCTTTCTTTACGGTTTTCAACCCTTTGTGCAGATGGTCAGGAATGCACGGTTAGAAGCCAGCAGCCATTCTTCCTGTTTTGATTGGGGGCTAATTCGGCTCTGCTTGTTTGCCATGTATCAGGCGCTTTCTAACATGTTAGAAAAAGTGGTTAATTGGCGTTAATAGACAAGAGAAATCGTCATTTATTCAACAAAACGGAATCATCTAGCTGTTAGAATTAAGGATTAACTTGGGAGACGAGTTTGAGCTTTTATCAGTGTATGGCAATTAAAACACCGATCTGGGTTAGTGTTGTGTTGTGCTGACATGCAGTAAGGGTTGGGTGTTTTTAATTCTGTGAATATAAATAGATCGACTGATTTTCTGAATTCATGCATTAACAAAACCGGGCAGGCCTTAATTACCAATTATCAACAAAACTCCAGCTATTTGAAGGCCTTAGAACCAAGTGAATGAAAATCAGGTAAAGTCAGTCAACTTCAATTGTGAATTCAACAATTCTGGGAATCCCCTTAGGTTGAGAAAAACAGCATAAATAACCAGTAGAAACTAATTAAGTCCCCAATAAACAAGGACCATGACCAATCAAACCCCCCCGTCCCCCCCCCCCCCCCCCCCAAAAAAAAGGCACGAAAAAATCTCTCCATAAATTATTAGAATTAGCTGGTATGGTTTACTGCTCTAATTATTTGAATTGTTATTTTCTCCCTTGAAATATATGATATACTTCATGACAAATTACTTTGATTTTCTTATAAGTGACATTTATACATGTATAAGATGAAAATCCACAGTTAAAAACTTGGCTGTGCCTGTATTCTTCTTGCTAATGAGCTTAAGCCCATTAAATTTGGCTGAATTCTTTCCCAACTTAGGCTTCTTCTTGGGCAACAATTGAAATAATACAGTGTTTCTATAAATAGCTTGTATTTTGAGTTTCCTCTAAACAAGGAGCCAACGCTAATTTTCCAAGATTGACTGAAACATTTTGGAAAGCCTTGGCTTGGATTAAAAAGATGCGGAGAGCAATGAGGGGACAGGAATTTGGAAGGAAGACAATAACACTAAAAGGAGGAAGGAGCCTGTATAAAGAAGCCCCCAGCAGGGATTCAAAAAGACAAAAAGTAAATAAATTGTACAATCATGACGATGTTTCGGAGAGGCCTTTGTATTCTACCTGTCCTTTTTCTCTCCGGGAACTGTCAATTCTTGTTCCCTTTCCTCCATTTTGATAATCCAGCAAGCAACGGCCTCAACTTTGGTAGCGACGGCGACATAACCAAGGAAGGCGTTGCACAGGATAATGTTGAGACTGCATACAAGGGCAAGTGGGAGCTGTTTACTGAAAATTCCGGCGTCTCGGCCATGCACTTGCTCATACTTCCCAAGATTGACCAGGCTTTGATGTTTGACGCCACGGTTTGGAAGATATCAAAATTAAAGTTGCCAGGCCCGCCTTGCCGAATCGTCGAGGGAACCAATGAGCAAGACTGCTTTTGCCATTCAGTTCTCCTGGACATTGAGACCGCAAAGATTAGGCCACTCAGGGTACATTCTAGCTCCTCCTATATATTTTTTCATACATTTATGGTGCCTTTGATAAAGGTGGTGGAAAGGGGGATGTGTTTTTTACAATGGTTTGTTACATTTATGTTTTTTAAGATTTAACATTTTCTGTTTGTAACAGTTGAATTATGACACTTGGTGTTCATCTGGTGCCCTTGATGTTAATGGACGGTTAGTCAGTACTGGTGGTTATAATAACGGATCAGATACTGTCAGGATTCTCGACATATGTCCCAACTGTGAATGGCAAGAATATCCAGGCGCACTTGGAAATGGAAGATGGTATTTGAGTAGACTTCATGCACTACAAAATTTTTCATTTTCATGTCATTTCGAAGTTGAAGCTGAGTTGTTTTTGTGCCCTGTCATTGAAGGTACGCGACACAGGTAACCTTAGGAGATGGTAGGTTCATGGTTTTTGGAGGTCGAAACTTTCCAACTTACGAATTCGTTCCACCAGAAGGGCAACGCAATGCCAAAAACCAAGTCTTCCCTTTCAAATTCCTGGCAGAAACCCATGATCCGGTGGAGAACAATTTGTACCCTTTTGTCTATCTCTCAACTGACGGAAATCTCTTCATCTTTGCCAACAACCGTTCCATTCTGCTCAATCCAAACACGCAGCAAATCCTCCACGAGTTCCCAGTTCTCCCAGGCGGTGCCCGCAACTATCCAGCGTCGGGAAGTTCTTGTCTACTTCCGATTAGACTTCAACCTGATGAAACACGTAAACTCATCCCTGCTGAGGTCTTGATATGTGGCGGTACGTCACACGAGGCATTTACACTGGCAGATTTAAAGCGCCCGAAAGTGTTCGTCCCAGCCAACAAAGACTGTGCCCGCATAGATATTACCAAAAGGAATGGAAAATGGAAGATCCAAACTATGCCATCGCCTCGTATTATGGGAGACGCCGTGGTTCTTCCAACGGGAGATGTGCTTCTCATAAACGGTGCCCAGAGTGGTTCAGCCGGATGGGACGATGCCAGGGACCCAAATTTCACCCCTGTCGTGTATCATGTCCATGGACAAAAAGGTGGTTCCAAGTTCACAGAGCTTGCACCTTCAAAAATTGCCCGTCTGTACCACTCATCCTCCGTACTTCTTCCTGATGGAAAAATCCTCATAGCTGGTAGCAACACAAACCCAGGATACATGGATAATGCCCTCTTCCCCACTGAGGTTCGCGTAGAAAAATTCTCGCCACATTACTTAGATCCAAAATTGGCCAAGTTTAGGCTAGAGATCGTACTTGACCAGTCCACCAATCAGATAAATTATGGAAAGAGATTCACGGTGCAAATACGCGGTGATGATGAGGCCCTGGACGAGCAGAAGCTCCAAGTAAATATTTACTATCCGGCTTTCACAACACATGGTATCTCCATGAATCAAAGGCTGGTTCAATTGGGAACTGTTCAAGTGATAAAAAACGTTGCTCCAAAAACCCACAACATTATTCTTCAAGCTCCCATAAACGGCAATATAGCTCCTCCTGGTTATTACATGCTATTCGTGACTTATAATGGGGTGCCTTGCCGTCGTGCCATGTGGGTTCAGCTGCTCCTCTAGGCCTCAATTCAAGCTCCAGTTTAAAGAGACGTCAACACAAAAAGAGAATGACTCAAAATCTCAACAGCTAATCTACCTTTCTAAATTTATTGATTTTATATGAATCATGAATCGTTGTCCACATTTTGTTAGCCAAGTGTAGTATTGGCTGTTGAAACCATATAACGTGGACCAATTTTTTTGTGTTCCGTTACTCAATCTAAATTCTTTAATTTTTTTTTTCTTTTTTGGGCATTTTTGCAATATTTGACATGAAAATAGATGTTGCTTTGCTCGAACATCCACGTCGCCAAGCAATTAGAATTTTGAGGTGATGACAGGAGACAAACTGTTTCAACAGAAAAATGAAAACTTGATGACATTATTTAAGGTTGTCAATAGGCGTGCACTTCTAACCATGTTCCAAGTCTAAGCCAAGGAGAAGAAAGACATTGATATTTTTAAGTCACGGTTATCACTCAACAGAACCAGCTGCTAGCTGCTTTGCTTTGGCCTTTGATTCTTTGAATTAGTCTCATGCAGGACATTTCATTTGTCTTTCTACTCCCTCCGCGTGCTAGCTGGACTCACGTCTCAACTGACCTTACTTTCTGATAAACATCTACTAAAGAAAACAGATCATATAAAAGTACTAGGTTGCCAGCAAATACTTACTCGATTTCTAGTTTGTGCGCTTTTCGAACCAAATTCACTTTGGTTTTTCTTTGGACATAAATTCTCTTTTAGGTTTGTCAAATATGACAAAATTAAAAGTCGTTGTATGATTACAGCAAATGAACTGCTCAACTACCTGTTTCTACAATATGCCAGGCCGTCATTTTGTAATTAATTATTTCCCTTATTTCGTTCTTCTTTGATCTGTCAAATAATTTTATAGGAATGTCAAAAACCAAGACAAGTTCAACATGTTTCAAATTGTAATTAAAAAAATTATAACACAATGGTTATCCTAGTAAGGCACATTTGCTGGTACAGGCTATATAAAGCCATTGACAACAATGGACAAAAGCATACCTTTTCAAAGGCATTGATTGACAAATACACAGCCAGCTTTCTTCATTGCAGTTGAAAATGGCTAGATTACAAGTTTTATTGTTGGCTCTTTTCATCACTGCAGTTGCACTTAATCGAAGTTTTGTTGATGCAAATTTTTCTAAGAGCATGTATATAACTTGGGGCGGTAATCGTTCAACTTTTTCAGGCAATGGTGATGACCTTCAACTTGTGTTGGATCAAACTTCAGGTAAACCTATATATTATCCAATTTCCGATAAATTTATTTCTTCCGACTTTCGTTTTCAGATACCTCCCTCGTGCTTGATTAATCATATTGTTTGCTATTTTGACATTACAATGCTCCCTCTGATTTTCAGGTTCTGCAGTTCAATCAAAGCGGGCATTCTTATTTGGAAGCGTTGAAATGCTAATCAAGTTGGTACCTGGGAACTCAGCTGGAACAGTCACAGCGTACTATGTAAGTGCAACAGGGTAAAGCAAACATGTATAAATAAAATAAAATACACCATAGCCATCAACTTTGATTTTTGTCTGCAAATCTTCTATATTCAGTTGTCTTTCATCCTGTTAACACATGTCAAAAACGATTTCCTCCAAGAAACCACATTCAACAAGATCAAAGTTGGTAATTAAAATATAAGTGAAAATCAAACAAAATTACATAATGAACATAACATTGTAACGTTTCATTCTTAAACAAATGCAGCTGTCATCTAAAGGGGACAAGCACGACGAGATCGGCTTCGAGTTCTTAGGTAATGTTTCTGGACAGCCATATATTTTTCACACAAACATCTACACTCAAGGAAATGGAAGCAGAGAACAGCAATTCTACCCGTGGTTTGACCCAACTGCTGATTTCCATAACTACACCATCCACTGAAATCCCACCGAAGTCGTGTAAGTTAACTCTCCTTTCAGTTATTACAAATCTTAAGGCATTTCACCTCACGAAACTAACAAAAAATACTTGATGGTTTCAGGTGGTACATAGACAACCTTCCGATTCGTGTTTTTAGAAACTATGAGAACGAGGGGATCGCATTTCCAAACAAGCAGGGGATGAGGGTACACTCCAGTTTATGGAATGCGGACAATTGGGCAACAAGAGGTGGGCTTGTCAAGATTGACTGGAATAGTGCACCTTTCATTGCCAGACTCCGCAGGTTTAGGGCAAGAGCTTGCAAGTGGGATGGGCCAGTGAGCATCAATCAATGTGCCGCCATATCCCAAGCTAACTGGTGGACTTCCCCTACTTACAGCCAGTTGAGCAATAGCAAGTTGGGTCAGATAAAGTGGGTCAGAGATAACTTCATGATCTATGACTACTGCAAAGATACTAAAAGATTCAATGGGCATATGCCTCGTGAATGTTTTAAAAAGCAGTTCTAACTCCTAAGTTCTAGCCCATATCACCAGCAATCATTCAATCAACCAATGGTGAAGAGATCCCTCACAAAGTTTCTAAAGGGATGAAAATCCTGGAATCAGATTTATTTTCCTACTACATAAACGAAACAATAATTTTGTTACATCCCGAAATTCTTTGCTTTTTTTTCCTATTATTTTGATTGAGTAAAATTTGTACGGTTTATTGTGTTTCAATTGTATTGCATTTTATTCTGTTTCCAATTGAGTATAAGCCATGAAAGTGACAAACAAAAGGGTAGTAAAAGATTTTGGAGCCACAAGATGAATCATGAGAGAGAGGTAACAAAAGATTTGGAGTTATGGTAGAGTAAAAAATATTTTATTTTTTTAAAAGGATATATGGCGTATAAATAGATCAGCTAGAATAAATTTTAAATTCCACAATTGTAGATAAAATAATAAACCGAAATACAAATTGAAAAAAATAAATAACAAAGGGAAAAATAGAGTAAAAATGAAAAACACGCAAAAACAATAAGACCCGAATGACGACACATACCAGCCACAGGCCCCAGTGATCGAAGTCGAAAAACTCTTCAAGCCCAGAATGAGCCTACCTAACCCAAAACCCAACGAATCCCGAACAATTGTCCTCCAACAAGTCATTTGTAGGCTAAAACTAATACACTTAAATCAATTTGAATTTTTATTAAAAATAACTAAAATATAATGCAACAAACGGGTTATTCGTCAATCAATCAATGTTACATTTACAAGAATCATTTTATTTTTATGGTTACAACTTGTTACACCTAATTATTTAGTCAATGATTAATCTAATCAAAATTTAATTAACACAATTAAATTTTTGGATCATTTAGATAAAATATGTTCGTATTGTCATGTAATTTTATCTAAAAATACGGCTTGTCTTTCGTCAGGGGAAGGTCTTGTTCAATATTTTATTGATATCTTATTATGATATTATTTTTAAATTGAACATTTAATTTTTAATTTATCTTAAATAATTAAATACAATTTATTTTTGTTTGAAATTATTAAATATAATTCATCTTTATATGAAATTATTTAATATAACTCACAATCATCTATGTAAATTTTTATCAAATTTAATACATATCTCTTATAAATTATTTCAATCAAATCATTATTCATAATGTCATATATAAAATTAAAAAAATCCAGCACATAAGAGAAAACACCCTTACTTTGTCCCTAAACATTTTCCCTCAATCGAATCTTTTTACTCATGCCTCAACTTCATCTTCCTTACTCATACCCCCATAATTTTACTTGTTTGGGCATCGGAGCGAGCTCCAAAGAAATAATTTCAACATGTTTTGATTGTATTTTTAGATTGCAGATTTAGATCATCTTATCATCAATCTTTACTCACTTTCTTTTAGCAAAGACACCAAAAACACCGTTAACACAATTAATGTTAAAATTCATTTGTATTAAAATTTATATAAAATATGAAAATTAAGGGGGAAAAAAAAAAGACTCGCGGGGCGATTCTGTTTCTAGTTTATATAATGAGGCCTTCATTTTCACAACTTGGCCGTGTGCAGATGATTATAAAAGCCAACAGCGGCGCAGAAGCCAGATTGCCAGGGCATGATAAAGCACACACGTTTGATGTTGCCGTTACTATTTTATACCTTAGTCCATTAGGAAGTAATCACTAAAAAAAAAAAGAAGGAAAAACATAGTACAAACCATTTAATTTATCAAAATACCCTGACGAAACCCCTCAAATCTCAACCTTATCGGCGGCGAATCCCTAAATTACATACCTACCCCTCTTTGTATCGCGTGAAAGCCAATAAGCCATCACTCTAGTCAACAGGTCAAAGTGCTTACTTCACACATTACGTAAATTCCCAAACTAGCCCTCTCTCGAACCATTTTTATAAATTTCTGCTTATCCTCTTTCCATTTCTTTCTCAAAAGCCACGCAGTTCCTTTCTGTTGTTTGTTGCGAGTCGTCTCCTGTTTGTGGTTTCAGTTTCTGGCAAAAACAAAAAAAAAGTCTTTATCAAAATCCTTCGATTATCTTTCTCTAGCTTTGATGATCTGATTGATCGAAGTAGTTGATCAAATTGAAACATGGAACGAATCGTCGGTGGCAAATACAAGCTCGGTCGTAAGATCGGTAGTGGATCCTTCGGTGAAATTTATCTCGGTTCGTCTCGTCATCGATTTTAACTTTTTTTTCACTTTTTTTGCGTACGTATATTTAAAAGTGATTTATAACGATTTTGTTTTTGTTTCGGCAGCTACGCATATCGATACTTTTGAGATCGTCGCTGTTAAGATCGTAAGTGTCTTTTAATTTTTTTGTAGATTTACGATCTGATTATCGTTTAATCTTCTTGGTGTAGAAATTAGAGCTAGAATTGAAAAATCACTAGATTTAAAAAAAAACATTTAAATTATATTATTATTAATTTAATTTTGCCGGCTACAGGAGAACCATAAAACAAAGCATCCGCAACTGCTTTACGAAGCAAAATTGTACAATATTCTTCAAGGAGGAAGTAAGTGCCATACTTAAATTAATTCATTTATTAAATTTATAAATATTATAAGAATTATGAATAATGAGTTCATTTTTTTTATTTTAATTAATGTATATAGGTGGAATTCCAAGCATAAAATGGTCAGGTGTTGATGGGGAAGATAATGTACTTGTTCTCGATTTACTCGGACCGAGTCTGGAAGATCTATTTGTGTACTGTGGCAGGAAGTTTTCGCTGAAAACTGTCTTAATGTTGGCTGATCAAATGGTGAGCTGCATGTCATGACATTTTGTACTCATTTTATTTTGGTAATATAAATTATTGCTTACTTTTGTATTTTAATTGTTGATTTTTGTTTTAGATTACAAGAATTGAATATGTTCACTCTAAGGGATTTCTTCATAGAGATATAAAGCCTGATAACTTCCTCATGGGACTTGGTCGGAAAGCAAATCAGGTTTACATAATTGATTTTGGTCTTGCGAAAAGATACCGAGACTCCACAACTAATCGCCATATTCCCTACAGGTAGTTTTCAGGTTTAATTTGTTATTTATAACTTACCTTTTTGTTTCTTTGACTTGCTAGATGTAAACCACTACTTGAGCAGTTATGCCATATGCCAATCTTGAATTGTTGTTACTACATAACTGACTTTGCTTCTTACAGAGAAAACAAGAATTTAACGGGGACAGCTCGTTATGCAAGTTGCAATACTCATCTTGGACTAGGTAAGGAGAGACTTCATTTCTCTTGGTCATTCATCAAGATGAATTAACCACTTATTCATTTACTTGGATATTTATGTCTAATGATTTGTGGTAGAGCAAAGTCGGCGGGATGATTTGGAGTCACTTGGCTATGTGCTTTTATATTTTCTCAGAGGAAGGTAGACAACCCATTTTCAGTGATTTTAATGCAAATAAATTTCTAGCCTTTGGCTATTTTGGTATTTGTTTTTGTGTATTAAACTGACTAGAATATTTCATAATATAGCCTTCCTTGGCAAGGTCTGAAAGCTGCCACAAAAAAGCAGAAATATGATAAAATTTGTGAGAAAAAGTTGTCTACTCCTATTGAGGTATCTCTGCATTTAATGGATCTTTCAGTTCTGTATTGTGGCTCATGATTTGATTAACATTGCTTCTGTTTTCTCTGACTTTTGTTGATCAAGGTTATGTGCAAGTCTCATCCCGTGGAGTTTGCGTCATATTTTCATTACTGCCATTCGTTGACATTTGATCAACGTCCTGATTATGGATTCTTGAAGCGTCTGTTCCGTGATTTATTTGCTCGTGAAGGTATTGTTGGGTGCATTCTACCCTTTAATTATCTAAAAAGAGGATTTTGAGTTGCATAGGTTGTACATTGACATTATCTTGCTTGAGGCTTAATAGAATGCTACTGAAGAAGCTGGTTGTGATCTAAGGTGATGTCCGTTGATATTGTTGGTTAACATATGCTATTGAAGGGGGAAGAGAATGCCTACTGAGGGTTGGCTTGATGGACTAAGTATTAGGATGTTGAACTAGAAATTGATGGCAACCTGACGTAGATGAATAATTTTGTATAGAATTTGCTGCAAACTAAATTTTGGTTCTTTTATATGGTAGGTAATGAGTTTGACTACATATTTGATTGGACAATCATCAAGTACCAGCAGGCCCAGAAAATTAGATCTCAGCCCCGATTCTCAGTTAGTATCTTGCTCCATTTCCTTAAACTTATAACAAAATTTGCTTGTCATTGTATTTAGAATTGTATATATTTGGTATAATATTTTAAATTGTAGAAACTGCCTTAGTAATTTGGTATTCTATTCTTTAAATGGAACATTGTTCTTCTTACAAGTTTGTATTACCCCAAATTGCAGCCAGTTCCTGGTGGTAGCAGTAGTCACCATTTATCAGCGGATGTGGATAAACATCAAGGTTAGCTCTTGTTGGTGCGCTTTGTGCTCAAATGAATGAATGGTGTCTTGAGGAATTTATCTATTGGATAAAAGAAATCTAGGAGACCTGTAATAAATCAAAAGCAGAGACCTCCTAATATTTGTGTCAGAGTATGATGTCTTTAGTAACTAAGTTATGCTTTGGGATTTGGATTTGCCATCAAGGTCAGAAGAAATTTAATCTTGGTGTCACTTTTTCCTTTTTTTTGGTCAGGGAACTGTATGAGTTTATTTTCCCTTCTGAAAGAAAACTTTAAACTTTATGGATTTATTTTCCCTGCTGAACAAAATCTTTTATTGAAAAATGATTTTCTAAAATTTTCGTCGCATATGTTGCATTGGAAAGAGTAGAAAGTATACCATAAAAATTAACCAATATTTATCCTCTCTCCTTGCAGTGGGGATATTTTAGCAATAGCATTGTAATAAAATTGCAAAATTATTCCCTTTTCTTTCTCTGCATGCTTGTCCTTTAAGCACATGCATTATTATTAAAGGCTATATTTTCCTGAAAGTCATAAGTGAATGGAGCTAGTCTAAGGTAATGCCTAAAGTACTTTTTTGCTGTCTTTCTTTCTGGGACTGAGACTGGATTTTATATATCCATAAGGTTACATAGGTTAAAAGATAATATAAAGAACAAAATAGTGCAATTCCAATTGGAGACAATATCAATTTTAGATTACTGAAGCTGGGTAACCATTTTGCTCAACCTGCATTTCCTCATTGAAAACTTGTCACCAAAATTTGTCACATCTCTTCTCCAATGGTTTGACCTTTTTTTTGGTGGGAGGGGGGGGGGGGGGAGAGGCTTGAGGTAGATGCAAGATGCCTGGTTAGTTTTAATAATGGGAGACTGGAATGACTATCCAGATGCTGTTGAAGCAAATAGATGTTAATTTATGAAATTTATACATAATAAAAATCATTTATGTAGAAATTCTTTATGTTGGCCATGTGGTTGTATCATATAAAAACAAGGAGATTGTGCTGAGATATAAAAACATTCACTGCCATTATCTTTAGAGAGATTTCAATTTCTGTTATTCTTGATGTTAGCTGTACTTAGAAATAACATTAAGACTTGGTCATTTTATAACTGCCAGGAGGCTTCAATGCTACTTATTCAACTGATGTCACAGAGCACATTAGATCAAGCAATGTTACAGGTCCAGGTGTTCGCCTGCAATTTAAGTCAACAACAGGAAAGAACTTGGTTTCTGATAGTACTGTTGATAAAAATGTAAGTTCATGATCGTGTTTCAAAATAATAAGGAAAATTTATGCCAAGTATTCTTGTTTGCTTCTTAATCAAACTCTTGCTTGTGTAGATTTTTATGGTTAGTGTGCTTTATCCTTGATTTGTCTTAATTAGGAATTATTTTTCATGCTTTTAGATCTTGGAATGCGATGTAGCTTCCTTGTGTTATTAATTTTCATGTTGATTTTGGCAGATTTTTTACCCTCATACACCCTCATCCTCGTTTGCACCTGCTGGATCCTATAAAAGAAATGGTCAGAAATCAATGTTGCCCACTGAAGCTATCAATTCTGGCCATGAAAATGGAAATAAAATCAGACCTTCCAGTAGTTGGATTTAATCATTGCAGCGTATTTCATCTGCCAAATGATGAAAACGGTAATTTATCAGCCCATAGATCAGTTTCTATTAAGTTGGACTTTATCCATATGCAATTAATGCTGTTATCATGGTATCAGTGACCAAATATTCAAAATATACTTTTGCTATGATTTTGGTCAAGGAGATTCTAGTGATAAATATATGGAGTCAATGAATTTTGGTGATTTCATGTTTTGCTTTCTCGCCTTGTATCTAGTTGAGAGCTGCTACTGTGCATTTTATGGTGGCCTTCAAACATGAAGATTTGTATTAGCTAACCTTTAATGCGAGTTTCCCTTAATACAAACATTGGTTGTTATGAAATACAGATACCTGAAGCTTGTTTGATTCATGTGCTACCATAAATGACCCATAGTAACCTTTGTATCCATTGTTTTATATAAACGTGAATTATTTGTGAAGGACTATATTGCTATTTACAAGATAATTCAATTTCATTTTGACATCTGATTGGCACAACGGCAATCTTTTATTTGCTTGATTTATGATTTTATCTACTCCTTTTGAGGGACTTGTTGAGGTCATGGAATTTTTTGGCTTCACGTTTTCTTCTTGGTTCATTAATTGTTTTGTCAAAAGCCTTTGCAATTCCTATTTGTTTCTGTTCATAACTTCAATAACCTCGTCTTTGGACTTGAGAAAACCAGAATATTCAATTGTTCCTCCTATAAGAATGATGAGGAAATAGCTGTTCTGTACCATCAAAATGTATGGTATGAAAATTTTCTAGCATGTTGTTGATCATATTCATTGTTAAAACTAATTTTAGATGATCTCAATCATCAGTTCATACTTTCCAATTCGCAGGATGCATTTCTGCCCTCAGTACTGTTGGAATGGTGGAATAGGGAAATTACGGTTCAGGGATGCATTTTAAGACTATAAAACATATATCTCTGTGCATGCTAACCACGGCAGATCTATTAAGGGTGGCTAAATGCTGAATATTGAACACTGAAGAAACTATTTATGGTTGATATGTTTGCTTTTGAGTTCTCAATTCTGCAAGTATCAACAGTGTATGTGCAGTAAAATTGAGTTGTACCTTGATTTCAACTTGATTTTGTGGAATTGGTTAGTCTATTACAGGGAACACATCTTAGACTGGAATGTTGACAGGACAGTATGCCACCAATATATAACTACCAAGCTTGTCTTATTACGTAAATACTGGGATAATTAGGGAAGATAGAAAGTGGGCTACTATTTGCATTTGCTGTAGCTTCTTGGGTTCTTGAGATCTGAAGAGCTTTATGTGGCTAGGCTGAACTATGGGAGCATTTTATATCTGGTTTGAAGTTTGAACCAGGTGGGGGGATAAAACATTCCCATTCCCCAATTGTTTTGGTTTGTTGACACTTGTATTAGTCAGGTCTCAAGATTTTGTGCATCTGAAACCAGATGACTATAGCATTGCTTCAAGCTCCTTCAGGTATGTACAGCTGCTGATAATCCACTTCTGATAAATATTCTGTCTGAGAAAGTGTCGCAATTTATGCCATTGGTGGAGTTTTGGGGAACCTTAAGTTGGATGATCAGAAACATTGTTCATTACCCTGAAAAGGGGGGCTCCTTTAGGGTACATTTTTGGTCTTCCTTGAAGAGGAAAGAGGAGTGAGCGGAGGACCTGAAAAGATCTGGAAGGCAAGTTTGAAGGCAGTTAGTCCAGTGTTTTGGTATGAGAAGAGCGTTATGGGATCATAGACTGAAACCTCTCTCTATTTCAAAAGTTTTGTTTTGTAATACAAGCTCAACGGCCATCAAACGTCGTTGCGTTTATTATTGCAGTCTTTCAGTGTGGGCTTTTCCTTTGTTCTTTGTGGGACTTCTCTACTTCTGGACGTTTCCAAGTTCAGCCTGGGTGTAGTAAGGAATTGTTCCGAGTATTTATGTGTAAATATTGTAGATAGGGTTTTTAATTATGTTAATCCCTCTATGAAATTTGTTTATTGTAATTTATTCCTTTTCTTTATTTGCATATAATATTATTTTTAAAGATGTGTATGCGTATCATTTTGTGTGGTTTTGAAATCAGCTTCCCGTGTTTAAAGGAATTTTTCATGTATAATTTTTTTTATTATAATTGTACAATTATTCAACGTCAAAAAACAATTATTTAAGAATTCATCATTTATACTTTTAAGTTCATAATCGTTACGGGATCTGTTCTGCGCTGCAGTCATTGACAAAAATGCGTGATCCTTCTCTAGCCTTGGTCGCATTCCTGATCACTACCTTCTAAGTATAGTATGCTCATTTTTTAGCAAGTCTTTTCAACAATTAATTATTCTTGCACCATATCTAAACAATAGGTGTCATCATCTTTTGAATTAAGTTTGAGGTCCGATTTTAAGCGAACAAATCGAGAAGGATCTATGTTGATATGGCATTTAATGAAATGCGAATAGAGCACACTCAGTTGTGAAAAAGATAAACCATTTGGAAGATATCTCAATCCATTTCTTTGAGATTTTGGTTCATTGAAGACAAGATCTACCATTTCATGGGGTTAGCATACAAGAAATAGCTAACATCCGTTGCTCCTCGTCATGTCTTTCAAAACAGTCACGACTTTGGCATACACAATTCCAGGTTCCATGCTGTCAGCTCCAACCATTCCTGCCAATAATTTTGAGTTACTTCATGAAACAGATTATTCAGACACTGTTCATCGTCTGAAACATCAGCACCTGCATCTGTTTGAGAACAAGGCAATGATTCAGCATCGGATTTCAGATTAGAATCTTCATCAGAGATATCTTCTTTAAACTCGATTGAGTCACCACTTACAGTATCCAGATCAATCAAGGACTTGGTTTTCTTCGTAGCTCGAGTATTTTCAAGACCATCAAGAGCCACTCACTTTAATCGATCAAAGTTTCCTCAATGGTCTTTGAGTTTGGAGCAAAAGGCTGTAATGAAATGGTTGGAACAATCAAAGATTAAGTATTGCTGTTTTTCACTAGAGTAAAACATTTTATCATCCGTGTCTTTGAATTAACCATAAAGAAAGACCGTTATAAAGTATTTAAAACTCTGAAACTGAAAGAGTTTAAAGAAATTATGATAAAATTGAATGTGGCTTAAGTTTCTGGGTTTAAATGGGAATGATCAGTTTGAAAGTGGTTTGAATCAAGAATCAACCGTTTATCGAAATAGTCCAACCTAATGTGATTTGTAGCAAAATACAATCAAATTAGAATGACATGAGTGGGTTCATTTGTTGTTCGGATTCCAACAAATTATTGATTTAAAATCAAATTTTAAGCACGCTACTTGTTGGGTATTACAATAAATCCAGGTAAAATTGGACAAATTTTCTTTTTAATTTAATAATTTGATTCATCCAAATAATCAATATACTTACTTTTTTTTAATTCTTTATCTACTCTTAACTTCCAATCTCCATCTAAAATATATTATGTGCTTAACTTTCACTCCTTATCTAATTAACTCATCTAAAGAATATATTACATGTTTAAATTTTTTCGAACCCGAACATGGATAGGCTTTCAGACGAGTGTTTGATCACTTTAAACATAGAAATGGGCGAAGTTGTGTAACAGCAACACATCAAATATTAAATTATGGTACGTATTAGATTTCAGTGACAGCGAAATTCAAACTTGTGGTGATTACACAATATTACAAAAAATTACAGAATTTCAGTGGGAGGCAGCTGTCGATTGCCCCCATTCCATTGTAAATCCACTCTGTTTCCAGGTAGTAAAGTCCTTGATGAAGCCTTTAGTCGTCTCAAGTCATTTGTAGAATGCAAAAATTGGTCTATCGAAACCAGTTCTAGTGCCCGACAACCCTGAAGTGACATCTTCTACCTTTCTGAATCCAATCTGCAAATGAGATGCAAAATGCTTAAGCATCCAAAGTAATAATGATTGACAGAAGCCTACAAAATTGAATCTTCCATCCAACCTGAAACCTCAGCATCATAAAACAAAGACGCAACGCATACCTTATCTAGAAGAATTTCCTGAAAATGCTCAGGTCGGAACATAATACTATGATAATTACTTGCTGTTGTCTGCAAAATATTGTAGAAAAATGTTTAATTAGAGGATCTAGTAAAAAAATTGAATTACACTGATCAAACATGTCAATTTTTTTTTGTAAGTGCCATAAAAAATTTGTCTTGTATAATCGCAGAATGTTCTTATAAACAGAAGCAAAGAACAAACTAGTAAAGTGGTGCACATCTCAGACCAAGTCAGCAATGCGGTTCACACTCATTGTACTAAAAGTTCTCACCCTATAATTGTTCACATTTGTTTAAGAAGAATAGAGCTATACCTCAGAGACTTTACGGTTCTTTTCATATGATTCCCAAGGTTGAGGTTCCAATACAAAAATGCCACCCTGCTCATGATCATATGCAGTTCAGACAACTGATAGTACATGATGACCAAGAAGATGCATTATTCCACGTGTGTGTACAAGTGAAATGAAAATTGATACTCATTGATGAAAAGAATTTCTCCCTGACATGACAAGGCTATGTGTGATAATTACCGGATGGAGAAGTCTCCAAATCTTTGTAAATAAAGTAATCAATCCATCATCACCCCAGTTCAGGTGAATCCATTTTGTCACACTCAAACTGCATTGCGGAAGAATCCATTTGAAAACAAAATCAGCACAAGAGGACAATTCAAAAATAATGTATCAGCTAAGCTCACAATTGAAGTTAGAAGATTGATTGGGTATTGCCAGGGCAAGACAGGCAAGCACCTTACTGGAGTTACCCGGCTCACAACAATCCAAATTAAAGATGTATCATTCACAAGCAAATACAAAGACTTTCAAACTTGCAGGGCCACTCACAAAAAAAAAAGAACAGAAGGGATACAGATGCATGAATCATTTTCCAAGACATCTATAAATATTATTTTCTGGAAGTTCTTTAATCCCCATCCCCCCTCTTTTCCATTTTAATGTAATGTAATGTAATCTTTAGTAAAAAATTTCTGGCAAAAAATTACAAAATGAAAAGGGAGTAACGTAATACAAGAGAAGACTTACCAAAGAATTGTATCATAATACTTATCAAGTGGACGATGACTCTGCACAAAATTTTCCCGTCGAAAAGAAACTATATCAGATAGATCTCTTTCTTCAGAAGAATGATGGCTTGAACTTTTGCTTGTGCCTTCACTTGACAATGTACTACACTGCTCTGACCTGTTTACTTCTTGTACAGCTTTTGCATTGGAATCACTTGCTTGCTTCTTCTGAGCAGACTCCATTTTCACAAATTTTCTAAGGCACCAGAATGCATCCTCAATTAGACCTGAAGATAAAAATAGAAAACTTGCATTAGTCTTCATTCAGTTTCAACCTGACAAAAGAAGCTTCAAAACTGGAGCAGCACATGCAGGTAGAACCATAATATTAAACTGAAAATTATATCAATTGTAGGCCCTACTGGCACAACAGAAAATATGATTCCCAAATTAGTTTTTTTGCACGTATATTGACTATGTTCAACATGCTTGAACATGACATACACCTATAACTAACAATGTTCCAGCACAGCATCAGTTTGTTTGACTCCGATGATGGAAGAAATAAATAAAAGCATCTTAATTCTCATTGAAAAATACCACAAAGGAATAATTAAGAAGAGATATATAGAAACAAATTCTCATGTTTTGTTCAACATACTCAACTTATCCAACAAATAGGTCAAACTAAAATATAGACACAGACAAAATGTCAATCTTCTCACGATATTTAGGCTGCTACTATTAGAATCTTACCAGAATCAATGTCAAGTCCAAGGATGCTCTTGCACTTAAAATTTTTTGCTGCACAAGTAGGAACAAAATTATGAATAAAAACGTGAACAAATACAAGCCAAACACTGCAAATTATGCCAAAATCTTAAACTAGAAGATACAAGACATAACGGAAGCATGGCACCACAACATTATCCCCCAAATCGCAAAGAATAAATAAATAATAAATAAAAAAGAAAAGCAAATACCACAAGATTACTTGTTCACAATTCACATAAAAACCACTCATTTTCCATCATTAAAAAACTTTATCTTTGACAAGAAATCAGAGCATAAATACGTTCCAACGGCAAAGTTTAACAATTCAAAAACAATATAAAGCAAATGAAAGCAAATAAATGATGAGGATGGAGGAATGTAGTAAAAGTACCAATCTGGATTGTAACAACGCCACTGTTACAGCCGATATCCAGACAATCCTTCCCTTCGAACCACTCCTTCTTCAATACCTTAATCCGAGGATCTTCTTCTACTTCACGGCCTGGTCCAATCTAAAACAACCACGTATATAAACAATTAAAAAACCCCCTTTTAAAAAAAAAAGTTAACTTCTGAATAAACAGGAAAAGGAAAGGAAATTTTACACGGTAGCCGTAATAGTGTTTGTAATTGCCGAAAGGAAAAACTTGTTTGCGTTTCTTGTTTGAGTTGTTCTTCACTTGGGTTTGGACACCGCTTTTGGCTTCTGCTTCTTTGCTTTCTTGCTCTTCTTCTTTCTCACTCTCACGTTTCTGTTTCTTCTTTTGCGGTTTCTCCATTTTTTTGCGTTTGTTTTCGTTTTCTTCGGCCATAGCTTCCCTTTGTATAGAAGGAGAAGCTAGGAAAGAACACAACGGCGTCTTTAAAATTTTTGCTAATCTTTTTTTTCAAAAGAAAATTTATGGGTTTTAGGGGATGAGCTTATAGGGTTTAAATGATTTTATACAGGAGCAGAGCAGCAACCGGACGTGCCGCAGAAGTTTTTCAGGTTCTAAAAGTGAACCCAACCGCGCCGCACGAATGGTTCTAATAGAAAAGGAACCGATCGGTCTCTGCGCCAGCTCAAAACCAATCAAATCCCACCACGTCATCGTTACTAAACGCAACGATTTGACATTTCCCATTATTATTCTGCTAATGAAAAATTTTAACTTCTCCAAGTTTTACAGGATTGTCCTATATTTATTTATTAAACTTTTTGTTACGACTTAATAAACACTCCTATTTGATAATTTTCTAATGTTGCTCGTAAAAATTAAACAAAACATTAATTTTAGAGCTGAAATTAATATCAATAAAAAAATTATCTTTCCAAAATAATTTTATTTATGAACGATGATAATTTGAGAAAAAAAATTTATAAGTGATGAAATTTAAATTTTAAATTTATTAATATTATTTTTAAAAATGATTATATAAAATAATTAAATTAAACTAAATTGTTTTCTTTGATAAAAAGTGTTTCGATTCTCCCACTTCATCGTAAAATTGTTGGTTCTGGAATTTTTTTCACGTTACTTTAGCCAGGAAAAAAACTGCTTAAATAATTACCTCAGGTTCTTGCAATTAGGAACATAGTACACATGGAAAAAGAACAAGGCTCTCCTGATGTAACCTGTTAATGATTCTACAAGTTAATCATAATGCCCACAGCTTGGTTCAATTCAAGAAGCATGCTCCTACTGCGATTGAGCACCTGCAACTTTTCACTTTTCAGTTATATGCAATGTGTGGCTCAAGAATTCCGATACTCAGAATATTAGGTCATTGATGCCAATTTCATGAAACTTTCAGAGTCGTACAGCAAACCAATTTTGAGCTATTTCTGTAACTGACAGACAGAGTTAGAGCACGCTGCTATCAAAACAAAGAAAAAACTTCCGTTGAACCTTGCTATTTGTGCTGCCTATGTTAAAGCAAATTTCAACTGAGACAGACATATTGACATATATCTAATTTCTTACATGTTTTCAGTTATTGGGACTAAAAAAATTGAGAATCATCTTCAAACGCATAAACATAGCAGACTGTTTATTGTTGTACATTCATCTCCTAACAGGTAGCTGAATCAAACAAAAGTGTTTTTTGTGAAAACAATTCGTTGAAATAAAAAGATAAAGATAACTAAACAGAAACTGACATCTCAAGATTTCTTCACTTCCGTGAAGCTAATGCCTGCGCGATTGTCACTGTAAAAGATTTATCTACAAAATGGGGTTGGCTGCATTCTTATGGGGAGTTACTTCAACAAATCCTTTCAGCTCAGATTCAGATTTCAGTGTCAAAAGGATAGTAAGAGAATGCGCCCAAAACTCACTCCAATTCCTTGAGGAAATCAATATTATCAACAAAAACCTGCAAAATTAAACAAACAAAATTATAAAAGGAAAAAGAAACACAAGTTGCCTCCTAATTCTAAGCATAAACATTAAGAAAAAAATGACATATTAATGAAAAACAGAAACCTTTCTCCATAAAGCTGATAAAACTTGGTGTTGGAACTTATGCACATGAATGAGCAAACATTCTTGATATATGTTTTTTTATTTGAGATATTGGTGATATAGTTGAATGATAAACAATTCAAAAGTAAATTTTCAACCCTTAGATCAAGCATCAATCTATAAAACCTTCAAAAGGCATACCGTCTTCCAACCATCAGGATCTACGCATGCAGTGATCTTGGTGTTAATACCAGGTAAAGGTCCAGGTTCCCGGGTAATTTTTCCACCAAAAAGTTTAACTGCCTCTGCAGTTTTGTAAACATCATCTGTGCCAATTGCAATCTGCAGAGATGCCAGTAATATGCCTTTTAACTTGTTCCCATATACAATAAAAAATGGTTAAAAATAACAAAGCAGAATCATAAAAGATACTGCATGCAGTTACATTTTGCAAACAAAAGAAGCAAATATTTTCAACATTGAAGTGAAAAGAAAGCAAAAATATTTCTACCTGAGCATAGCCATTTCCTTTCTCATAATCAGTAACCCCGTAGTTGTAAGTCAACTCAAGCACAGCATTTTTGTCTTCAGGCCCATAGCCCATCATGGCAATTGTATACTAAAAGGAAAATTCATAAACAAATGTCAGTGCTTATATCTGACTACCAATTACTAAAAGGTTGGGATGAATACTTTCATCAATCAAACTAAAACATATAGCCATGAAGATAGTCAGAACCCTCAAGAAAGCAAGCATACAAACACACAATGTATGCACTTGAATCCTTCTTTGCATCCATTTAACAACCACCCCCCCCCCCCGGGGCTTCATCATTCTCCTACATTTTGTTGCTTTCTTTTTCCACTTCTCTCCCCAGAATACACATTTTAACTGGTTCTGTTTGCCATGTGAAATGAAGGATAGTTATTTACCTTGTACTCTGGATTATCTCGTGTGCGAAGAAGCTCCATGCCAAATGCCTGCAGCAACAAGACATTGAGACTAAGACCTATGACATGACTTAAACCATAGTAAACCCCGCAAAAAATGAAATGTTCATATAAAAGATTGTAAATGGCATCAGATATCATTGCTGAATGTTGTGCAGCAACTCTCACCTTCTCATAAAAATTTATGGAACGATCAAGATCACCAACACGGAGCATTACTTGGCACAAAGGTTCAGGAGTTGGCCCCCTTTCAATCAGTTCAAACTTGTAACCATCAGGATCCTCAACAAATGCAATTACAGTACTACCACCTTTAACTGGACCAGGTTCTCTGGTTACTTTTCCACCCTTGGCCTTTATAAGTTCCACAGTCTTGGCAACCTAATAGTGGATCACATAAGCATTCAGCTTTCAAAACCAGAACCTAGCAGTTCCAAGATTCCTAACAGTCTATCATCTTGTTAAAAATGGAAAAAGGTAATATAATAACTTACATCCTCAACAGCAATGCCAAAATGACCAAATGCGGTTCCAATATCATACTTGTCAACTCCGTAATCTGGTAGCACCATTCAAGGAAAATTAATATCCAAGCTGAGCTCATATATACTTCTACTCTAATATTCATGTGTGGGAAAGAAAATTTTCATAAATATTTAATTAGTAACGAAATTTCAGACTTATTATAGTTTAGAAAAGCAAAATAGTAGTTTGAGAGCTTACTGTAAGTGAGTTCAATAACAAAGTGAGAATCTTCTGGCCCATATCCAAGAAAGGCATTTGTGTATCTCTCCTCTGGTATGTCCCGTTTCCTCAACAGCTTCATTCCTAGGCACTCAGTATAGAATCTGCAACCACCATGACATTCAAGTTTGGTTCAAAGATTCAACCACATGATTGTTTTGAAAAGAATAAATCTATCTCGCTAACTGCTCATGAGATTAACAAAGGAAACATAAACAGTAATATATCTAGAAATGACATACTTGATGGTCCGGTCCAAATCCCCAACGCGATAAACAACATGGAGCATTCTTCTTTTGTCCTTTTTAACCCACTCTAGGGCAGTTTCCTGGGCAGCAGCCGTGCTTGCCTGTACCACATTCCTGACCAGAGGAATCCCTACCTTGCTTTCCCTAGCTCTAAACATCTTAGAAGCTTTGAAACCAAAGAACTGGGACTGCGGAACAGCTGGATAAAATTTCAAACAAAAAACATAAATTTATTTATATCAAAGCCATCTGAAGTCATTTCTCACATTCTATAAAACTCAAAAGAATCTCCAGATACTGTTATTTTGACAAAGTACTGATTCTTTCAACTAGGTAATATAATTGCAATGTAATCAAACGCCCCTAAATTCCGTAAAAATCTTATATTTAAATCGTAAAAACACTCTACAATGAACTCCAGAAGTTCAATTGCAATGCCCGATTCCTTCTAATTCTTCAATTGGTAATTAAATTCCCAATTAACTAAAAAGACAACAATATAAATAAGTAAATTCTAGGGCATGCAAGGGAAATGAATTGAGAAAAGAAGAAGCAGTGCTTACTGCTGCCAAGATGAGAGAAGAGGAGGCGTCGAGGAAGTGTAAGAGGAGAAAGGGAAACGCCAAAACCCGTAGAAGCAACACCAACGGAGAGCCTAAACGACGAGAGCGAAGGCCGTATTGAGGACGCCATGGGAATTATCCTCACCATCTTCGTGAATTTCTGTCTCTTTGTATATAACACTAATTTTTTTTTTTAAATAATAATCAAAAGCGGTTCTCTCTGTCTCTTCTAAACTTTGAGTCTGAGATGTTTCTAGCAGCTGTCACCCGTCTGTAACTGTATCCGTAGCGTTTCTCTCTCCCTGTCTATCTGTCTTTTTTTCTTTCTTCTGTTTTATCTTTGCAGTGAAAGAAACAGAGAGAGTGAGGTTGTGAGTTTGCGATGATACAAGTTTTATTTATTATCTTCGAGATGCGAAAAACAGTAATAATTAAATTTAAAAAAAGAAAAAAGAAAAATGCAAATATAAAGAGGAATAATAATAAAAGCAAAAATAAAACAGCTATAATTTTTTTTTTTTTTTTTTGTCTTTTGATTGCAAAATAGCGGTACCATTGGACGTGGTTCACGAAATGAGAACTCTTTTTCGAGGGGTTGCATTTGTTTCCCTTCCTTTTGTTATCCACTCTGTTTAACGTTTCCTTCTTTTTCTCCCTTTTTTCTGCTTTTGGTTTCTCACGCAAAGGATGTGCACCATTTTTGTATTTATGCTAACCTCAAACTTTAATCTATTATTTTATAATCTAACTATATATGGAATTTATTTTTGTAGAACGAGTTAATATTGTAATTTAATAATTCTTCATCTTGGCAAAAATAAATATTTTTATTTAAGTTTGTTGAAAATTAAATTTTAATCATTAAAATAATATTTTAACATTTTAATAAAAACAAGTAGAATTAGATATATAATCAAATCAAATCAATATAATTAAAAGCCCAATCTTGATTTCGAAATTTAATTTGAATTAGATCGAATATTAATTTAATTAGATCGAATATTAATTTAAAATAAATATCAAATTATTTAAATTTATTAAATTAGACTTATTTATTTAAATAAATAAATAAACTCAATTTTTATATTCAACTTCAAATTTAATTATTTGTGTTTAAATTTAAACTTAAATTTGAATTAATATATATATATAAATAAAATATAATTTTTAATTAAAATATATTAAAATATAAAAATTTAATTAAATTTATGAGTTATTTGAATAAAATATTAAAACATACAAATTCGAATCAATAATAATTAAATTAAATTTAAATTTTATTTTAATTAAATTCAAATAACTTATAAATAAAAATAATGTATCATTTATAACTTTGAATAAAATCCCTTGCTGCTTAATAATGGACTATCATGAAATGTTTGACTGCTTGGCTCATTAATCGTGGACAATTGGACATATCTGTTTACAAGTTTTTCCTCAAATTTAGGCCAATGATTGGATCTCTAGTTGGAGACGATTGGAAAAATTAAGCTGGGCCTATCAGGAGTAGAGAAATTTCCCCTGGAATAAACAAAAATTTGGACTGGGCTCTTCAAAAAATATTTACTGTAATCTATTTGTGCAGTCCAAAATTCCAATAAAAATCCATAAAATTTCTTTTCTAGCAATCAGAGTCGAAAATAGTTGAACTGATGTTGCATTCGAGATGATACAATTAATAAAAAATTCGTACAAATTTTTTGAATACAAACCCAAGTCAATTCGATTTGATTAAAAAAATTAAAGATGCAAATATGTTTTATTCAAATCAAAATAAATTAAAATTCTAAAACCTAACTTGAAATTATTCAATTTAAATTTTGATTTGACTTAAAAAAAAGTGATGGCCGGATACTTGAATATAGTTTAAAGAACTTTTTTATGAATTTCAATTTAGGTGCCATTCAGAACTCAAATGTCCTGAACAAGGCAACAATTTGCTCCATATATTGTGTTAGATTTCTCAATACTTTTGTTTTGGATTGTTTCAAATAAATTTATCAAATTTAACGATTTATAAGAAATTAAATTCTTACACTCTTTCAATATATTCAAATGTAATCTATATAGAGATGAGCAGTATTTAACACACTCTTTTGTTTATAGTCTGTTGATATCTTATGCCTTCTTTTAACTCTTATGTTACACTTTCCACACAAAAATCCCATAAAAATTTTAAGCTAAAACTAAAAGAACCCTTAAAACAGTTCAAATCCGCAATGTTTTTGGCAGGTTTGATGATCTCCCAGACTCTCAACGCATTTTGTTCCTAGCTGGCCCACCCAACTCCCCCAATCCTTAAAACATTGCTTTAGCATGTAAAGGAACATAATTTGAGTAATTCAGAATTGCAACATTGCTAGCTTGTTAAAGAACCTGATTTGGGTTTAAAATGTTGATTAATAACCAATACTATAAAGAAAGAAAATTTAATTTAACCATTAGTGTTTAGTTAGTGCATTGGGGTTGTTTCCTTTCGCTTAGTGAAGGGTAAAAATGAAATTGAAAAAGAAATTGAGGACTTTGGTTAGTTCTTTTATCTGCCACTTTTTCATATATTAGTTCTTGAAATTTTTATGTGGATTTTAAGGATGAATTTCCATCATGGAGGACCCGATATTTGGGTGTGGGTCTTAATTTACTCTTTCTTACCAACGGAGTAAAAATGGTTTGTTCAGGTTGATGGTGTTTTCCTCCTCTCTGCCCTCTTCTATGACATTATCAGTCTTTTGAACTGTTTAACATGCAGGTGGGCACTGGGAGTCATGATCTATTTCTTGCTGCATGGTGAAATGCCATTTGGATCGTGGCTTGATGAGCGGCTTGATGAATGATCTATATAGTTTTCCATCATTCTACTTTTTTGCCAATGGAGCTCCATTCCGCGAGGTGCCGATAATCGGAAACTGGAGCAGAGAAATCATTTTCAGAAATTCAATTGTAAAGTTTGCAGGCCTTGGTTTGCCCATAATTCTGTGAATTTTTTGGGCTCTGTTGCCAAATTAGCCATCTAACCAATTTAGTGGATAGCTCAGTTAATAGGTTCTTTAGTTTAAAATCTTTTTTTTTTTGTTTACATATTTCCCACTTTTGTAAATAGGTAAATATGTAAATAAGGGTTCCTTGTAATTCAAGCTTTCCAACATTGCTTTTGCGGTGGCGGTAGATAGTTAATTGACCGTTTGACCATTTGCGGTGGCGGTGGCCGTTTTGGTCATTTTGTTTGAGAACTGCTCTACGATTGACCTCTGTTATTCATATTACAAAGTTATTCAACCATTTTGAGACATCTGATTTTATTTATTTGACTATCCTAAGAATAACAATAATAACAATAATAATAATAAATCCTTAGTATGGGAGGACAATATTGAGTTTAATTTTTTTAAATGTCTTTTATTTATTTTAAAAAAAATGTCACGGGTCACGTATTTTTTATATCAAAATCATACATTTGTGCTATATCAAAATTACTCATAATCAAGGTCCACTTTTTTGAAATCTATTTTTTTATGAACAGCACTTTACTAATCCTTCAAATCTTATACTCGTGAGCCCTTTTTGATTTTAATCCCATAATGTTACACGCATTTTTTTTAACTTTATATGAAAGAATCCAACTCCCATCACTTTTCTCAATCCACAAGTCTTAGTGTGATCTCGAGCACCTGTCTTTGGCCTCAGACATAAGGTCCCGAGCATCGACCCTTTTCGAATTTACATAGGGGCATGCAACCTCAATTCTCATTATTATCTCAATTTAATATTATGAAAACTCAATACTATGCCTGCACGCACCATATGTAAGCTTTAGTGCCAAAAACTAAGAAACACAACACCAATACTAATAAACAACCAGCCCGAAGTCACATTAAATTCATCTCATTCAACGAAACTCATATTTTGGGGCTTCGTCTCTTAGCCTTCATTTAGGTTACTCGCATGCATGATGAATATTTATTATCATGCCCATCCCACCTCAAGAGATTCGGGTGTGCTAACTCAACCACAACACACCTTTATTGAAAGGTCACAAGGGTCTAGTAGCATGCTTGCTTGCTAGCCGCTCATCTTTTAGGCTTGACGATACTCTTCCTATGCAAATATCATCTCATAATCTGTGATTACTTATCGAATCGACTCAAGGTGAAAAAATTGAGGAACATAACGAATGCTAACGTCTAATCTTACGGTTTAATGCAAAGGCACGATACGAAACTCGGAGGCCTCAACCATCTTTGGATATATCATGACCCAAGGAGACATCGTATTACATTTGTGACCCAACAACTTACCTAGACACCACATATATCTAAGAGTAACTCACTTCAAATTAACCAAGCCTCTGCTTGCTCTTGCTCACTAACCAAGGAAGTAGTGAAGAGCTAACACTAGACGTCCCTTATAAAGAGTATAAGAGACTTCCCGATCATTGTACTAAGAAACATAAGATTGTCTGAAATTGAGATACTTTTCACTTTAGCCATTTTAAGGTTCTCTTAAGCTAAACTAAGGGTTCAATGACCTATCTCTTAACTACTATAATACCAGCATTCCACTCATTGATTCACCAACCAACTCGAGAGTGCATGGATATGACGTTGACCTACAGCACCCGACTGGCTATCTGATTCCAAGGCACCTAGCCATTGACTGGCACTTATCCACACATCTTAGGGACTAGGGCTCATACCACCCATTCAACATGTTCCTGGGCTAATGCTGCAAGCCCATTGCTCTGGGACCTCTGTTCTGATCACAATGCTTCGACCGCTGCTCAACTCAGAATCAGTCATGATGGGATCGAGGCATACCAAGGCTTGACCATGACAAAAGGCCTGCTCCTAAAGGAAAATTCCCAGGCGTTTTTGATCCAGTTTACTAAGAATTGGGGAAGAAGACAAGTATGAAAGACTTGAGGTGAAGTCTATATCTGAGCTGAATTTGTGGAGTTGGAGCTTGCCGCTTGTTGTTCTGGCGGTTGTTACATTAAGAGTGTTTCGATCTGTTCATATTCCTGATTTTCTTACTTCTCAACCAAGTTCTACACGAAACTTGTCAACTTACAATTATGATGAGATGCTAAGGACACGCACTTTCAAACACAAAATATAGGAACATGGGGCATTGACGACAGATCGATTGACAGACTGGCGCAGCCAATCTGCTTGAAGAAAATTAAGCAGCATTTCTAGCCAGGTGGTAAACATTACTTCTATTACCTACTCCATTTAACAGCTCCTCTGATGTAAAATATGTAAGTGAAGTGTTGTTCTAGACAATATGTAAAGAAAAATAATCTTTGGCATGGGGTATATATTGTCATCCATTAGCTTTACAGTTGAAATTTATCTTCTGCATTGATTGGTTGCATCAATTTTGCTTAGATTTGACACCTGAAAGCAGTGAGGCGGGGACTTATCGTGGCTTTTATGTCAGTTTTGTTTATCTTTATCTGCCCATCTATGAAGCGTGCTTGAGTCTAGTTGACTTTTGGGATTTTAGAATTGTTGTTTAATGAAGCCTGATCTATCTGATCAAGCATGAGATTAATTCTCATAATTAGTATATCCAGTTTTAGTGGACATGAAGTTATGTTCAATTCTCTTCATGCAGGTAATCAAATTCTTGCTAGTGTATATCCATAACCTGAACTTGATGTGAACGTAGTGAATTCCAATGAGCTGAAGACCTTGGATATTTTGCATAATGGTCCTAAGCAATCCAACGATAAGAAATTGTACAGATACTCCATCTTGCAAGCATGCCAAAACCTGATAATCAAGTGTTACCAGAACCATCTCAATCTAACGAGACTGATTGATGTAGACACAAAGTCCAAAGTCTTGATCTTAAAAAGGGATGCCACAAATTCTTCGGAATGGCTTGGAGAAATGAGACGAGGAATCATGGTAATGGCAGTACTAATAGCTACTGTGACATTCGAAGTAGCAAATAATCCTCCTGGAGGACTTTGGCAGGATGGGGGTCCTGCTGGTTCTAATGTCACTAGGCTCATGCATAGTCACCGACCAGGAAAATCAATTGCACGAGAAATTTCTCCCAATAGCCTCACCTGGTTTTTGGCGTGGGACTCCATTGGATTTTTAGCATCCATGAGCATCATAGTAGTGTTGACAAGCCCCTCGAAGCTCAAGGAGAATTCGATCAGGTGGTAGTACATTCGTTTAATGATGTGGGTGGTCATTGCTTCTGTTCACATGGTCTTCCTTCAAATGACCACTGCCCTGACTATTTTCAAACCAACAGTGATAGCGCCTTCCATTTTTTTAAAGAGATTGCAAATACTAAGATTTGCTTAATGTTATATGACTTGGACAAGAACAATCGCAGGTGATTTACCGTGCTTGAATCATTCAAGCAAAGCAGGACAAGAAAGAGGGACTCAGCTCTTACGTTAATATTACAGCAGATTAACGTAACACCAGATCCTGCGCCGGCGATTCAGACAGGTAAACCATATTATTAAACTGGCCGAATTTGAGAAACCGCCGCGGAATTGAACATTATTCTATTTAGATTTTTTTATTTTTTGTGGGTTTATGTTAAATTGCGAATTGACCCAAACAAAGATGACAAATAATTTTTAGTGAAATCAGTTGGTGTGTTAGGCCAAAAAATTGTTGCTGTGTAACTTCTGATTTGACTTATAACAATTGCAATTATATTGTTGTATAAAGAATAATAAATATGCCGCCATTATTTTGCAAGTTGACAATATGGAAACTTAACTATTGTTTTAAATTTAGGTAAAACTTTGAGTAATTATATCTTTTTCTCATTGTTTTTGTCTATTTTTAAATGTGGGTTCTGCCAATAGTCTAAGAATTGAATTATTTTGTTCTATTTTTCTTCAAATTAAATTAAGTAATTTATATAATTATGTCATATTTATTTTTTTTGTTTTGTCAAAACATATAAAATATAAAAATTATTATATTATAATTTATGTCTATATATGAAACATAAAAATATATTTTTTTTATTCTTATCGAATTTATTTATATATTTTTATTAAAATTTTTAAATTTTATTTTTTAAATTATTTTATATTATATTATTGTATTATATTTAAAATTGACAGCTCTACCTCATATTATTATAAATCATAACACTGAAGGTTCTACATACAAAATGACCTTGCTCGATTTGGTAAGGCTAAAAAATGTACTGTCTTTTGAGCAACCAAGCTTTTGAAATTCTTTTTTTTTTTTTTTTTTTGGGGGGGGGAAGTTACTTGAACAAATGACATAATCCAGATTCCTTAAGTCTGCCACTAAGGAAACTTAAAAAAAAAATTAACATACTTAATTCAGAAAACCAGGTTGGCAAGCAGGCTCTTTTGCTTAAGTTCCATGATTTAAAAAAAAAAAAAAAGAAATTGAAGCATGAAACTAGAGAAAAAAAATTATAAATATTAAGATTTGAATCTATAAAATAAAAATGATTATATGAATCAATTAAAGTAAATTTTTTATTCTTAAATTTCATGATTTGTAGTGCAGAAAATTGTTTTTTTTTTTAAATAATAGCCAAGAAGGAAACATCGAACATGGTAGAAAAATTAAGAAGGTAGCTTTTTGGTTGCTGTTGCTTGTGTAAACAAAATCCTACAACAGATGGAATGGATAATTATACCTGTCACTTTCTATATACGTTTTTTGCACATACGTGTTTTACAGGAATATATTCCTTGAGATAAAAAAACAAAAAAAAAAAAAAGAAAGGAATGAAATTGTGTAAAATCAGGGAAAATAATAAACGGAAGTGTTTAGCTCTGCCTATTGAAATTATGCACAAAATGCAACTACCTACATGAAATTTCTCCATCAATCAACAAATCTTCAAACATCTAAATGATGTATTGTATCCTGAGATTGTTGAGACCTTTTTTCTCTATTGGCAAACCATTGGACTGTTCTTCTGGCAATTGGCAACCAAAGCCGCCTTATTCTTTCCTCCTTTGTATAGGTATCAGAAAATGAAGACTCACTTGTTCTCTTTCTTGTACTGACATCTCGAAACCTCGATAAAGCAGTGATCTCTGACATTGATCTTTTCTCAGCTTGATTAATAATCCTTGATTTATGACTCGAAGTGGCTTCAGAATTTGATGTTGAAGGAAGAACAGGAGCTGAAACTGGATTGTTTTTGTTAATTGAACCAACTTTGCTCTCAAACAATCTCTTTATCTCCAACTCCTCCTTAATCTTCATGATTTGCTCGTTTTCAATTGTTTTTGTTTTCGTAACCTGCCCATCATTTATTTCCAGGGAAGAAAATCTGTTGCTCGACATATCGTTAAGCATCTCGGAGTTCAAGAACAACAGGTCTGAAGAACTCACACTGCTCCATCGGTTCTTCAAAACTACATCAGATACGATGATCTTGTGATTGAACTTATGGAGGACCCTCCCATCATCATCATCATCATCATCCTCGTTGTCAGCATCTTCTTGTTTAATTAGAACTTCATTTTCGATATTGCCCTTTTCAGTTTTCCGGAAACTGCTTCCAATTCTGAATCTTGATGAGCCATGATTCTCTTGCTCTCTCTGGACATAGAGCTCTATGTTGGAGTCCTCTCTTAGCTCAGATTGATTCCATAAGAACCGCATGCTATTTGAGTATGTAAAGATTGTTGGGTCCTCAGCGTTGACCTTCTGCCTGCAAAGAGGGCAGCTCGAATGTTTTTCTAGCCACTGATCAATACAATTAATGTGAAAGGCATGTTTGCACTGAGGCAGCAATCTTAATATTTCAATATCTTCAAATTTTGATAGGCAGACAGCACATTCAAGCCCTTGTTTTGATCCTTTAAGGGAAGAGAATCTAAAGAAAGGAAGTGATTCTATAACTTTCTTGTCAATTCCAGAGAACCGTGACCTTGTTCGATGGAGTATTCTTGGGTCATGATCACCATGAACTGTTGCTCTCCTGTGACAGTATTTGGCAAAGACAAGCAGGAACAAAGTTAAGGAAAACACGACACAGAGAATACCTATGACAACTGCGAGGCTTGGTTGGAAATTTGAGACAGCATCTCCTGAAGTTGGATCCATCTCTCTAGAGGGGGATTGTGCATCGACAAGGAAAAGCTGGAAAAAAAGAACTATACTAATCACCGTTAATCGATTCATCGGAATATTTGTTTCTCAAAATTCCCAGAATTTTATAGCTTTGCTGCTGGCATTTCAGCTGGAAAATGTATTTTTCTTTTCGGAGCAGAACTTTTAATTGTCCAAGGGGAGTTGTTTGATATGGGTTAGTTATAAATAGTCCTGACCAAAATGTCACTCCCCCAAAAGGGCATCCTTCCAGTTTGTCAGTTTCCTTGCTTTCGTTTAAATGTGAAAAATTCAGAAGTGACGACATGGTGGACAGCCTTTTGATTGAATACAAAATTTAGCCTCTGACCTGGGAGCTTGTTTTCTTGGATAACAATATTCCTTACAAGAAAAACATCTGTTATCATCCATAATAACTAATTATTAATTATATTACAGGGTTTCTAACCATATAAAAAAATCATTGTGAAACTTGAAGCAGTTAATGTGTTTGACATTTTTAATAACAAGCTTTCTAATTGGATAGATCTCTTGCTTCTAAAATTTTCGTTAGTAATTTTTTTTCTCAAAAAGAGAAGTGTCGTCCTTAGCTTAGTTTGGTGGCTGTGAAGGGAATATCAAAAGATCAAATTGTAAATAAAAAAGTCAATGTTGCTTCCATTAAGATAACTAGAAAGTCAAGGGGTTGCATCTAGTCTATCTTTGCTCTAGGTTAGGTTGTTTTAGGTGATTATCCAACTGAGCATCCCATCAGCTGATCTAGCCAGCTAAAAGTCTCAGAAATTCATATGAAACAAGAACCTTTTATAATTTGTATATGTTTACTAAAATGAAGGCAATGAATGATATATTGCAGTTTGAATTTCTAATATGAAACGAGTACACTTCAACGATGGCTTCATGATTGATACGACTTGTCTTTATCATTTCACCATGTTGTCCAAGATATAGGAAGACGGACATTCGAGTGGACATTCATACTAAATTGGGAAACCAAGCTGAGAGGAATAAACAGACACGAGAAACCCGGTAGTCTTTTCTGAGGATGAATGTGGAGATAAACCCAGAGTCAATAACCATAACACAAGCATCACAGGAAATACGAAATTTTGGTCTTCATTATATACAAATATATTATTACGTATGAAACTTCAAGAAATCCATCCACTTCTCCAACTCTGAGCTTTTCTGTTTCTCTTTTTGCTTAAAAGCACTGCATTATGACGGGTTTGAAGAGCCACACAGTGTCTGTCAATCCGAAAAAAGAATTTTAACAGTACATGTCATGCTGACGTAAAATAAAAGTTAAACAGATTTATAAGTCAAGTCCAGTAACCGTTCTATAAAATCCCGCAGGTAAGAAATTAAGTATAAGGTAAGCTATATAACTAGTGAAGTTGGAAGGGTACATGGTTAGTTTAAGAAATTAAAAAATAAAAAAAAACTCCTTAACTGCTTGTTCACTATAGCGACTGCTCAAGAATTTAGTCTGCAAGGATATGCTGCAGTTGGAAAATGATTAATCCAAGCAGATGATAGCCCTACAGGATCCTTTCAATAACCTTTCCAAAATTAAAACCATGATCTCCTCATTCTGCCAACATTAGCAACTATGACAGCATACATGCATTGCATTCGAAAGTAGTATCATAAAAACTAAAACTTACATATGTACTAAAGTGGTTGAAAATTTTCCTCATGCTATGAGAGCATGTCAGAATCTGAAGCTTAAACCGCTGGCAAATATAATACAACGAAAAGAAAATGATTTTCTGGAGGAGCTGCAACTACACAAGTAAAATGTTTAACATTACTATTTAACAAGAAAAGATGCTAGATATTACTACATACAAATGGAGTATTTAACTGCAGCAGCTAATACAGGCGAATGGGAAACAAATAACCAAACTCAGTAAGAAAAGATAGGACTCTCACTAGTATATTCAAGGCCATAGTAAAGACAAATTTGATTGCATGCCAATGTATGTTATGGTGCTGGCAAACGATTTTAGACTTCAGCTCTGAGCAGAGGCAGAAGGATTGGTACTTGGAAATGTTGCCAAACCATTGCTATTATCTGGATTAGGGCACTCTTCACTGGCATGTCGAATAAACTCTTCAGGGGACATGTGAGTACCATGGCAAGCACAAACAATCTTTATCTGATTTGCACTGAATCTGTAAGTAACACCAGAAATTGTTCTACCATGTGGGCCAGTACCCGTGGTTGAAACCCAAGGTAAATTTGGATAAGAACCAGATCCCCCAAATTTCAGGTCTGCAGCAATACCAGGCTTTATGGCTGAAAAATCAAGAGATAAGCCTTCTGCTGTCGGTCGATCAGATGCAGCATTTGTTCTGAGATTCATGCTGCTGGCTTTTACATCTTCCTCTGCCTGAGTAGAGGAGCCTTCCTCTGTGGCATGCTGTTTACCCTCGCCTTTGACTAGTCCAAATGTCCTGCCATCATGTTGTGCAGCCTCTAAGGAATTGTGCTCAATTGTATGCATGGAAGCTACATCAACAAAGGGAAAGTTCATTAACAATTACTAGCCTTGATGATAACATAGAGGTAAAATAGTATTCAAATTAACAAACGGCCAACTGATTATTGATGTTAGAGGTCAAAATATAATACTTCTAGAGAGCTGAAAACCATTGGCAGCATGAATCTGAAAAGATAAATACTTAGAATCCAATGCTGAAATAAGTACCATATAAAATTCCTTCATAGTTTTTGTACTAGGTTATACCATGACAGACTGACAATAGCTCAGTTTCCTTTTGCTTCACGAATAGTCAACTGCACTTATTAATCTTGTTCTCTTGTCTGGGCAAGAAAGTTCCAGACATCAGGATAGCTTATAGCTCTCTATGAAGTGTAGAAGAAACAGATCACTAGGCATATTTTATAAATCCTATCCATCCATTAAACCCATTACATTGACTCCCTCCTTTATATTTTCTTCTAGAAAAGGGAGAAAGAGATACCTTGTGATATTTTCAATCCATCACTGTGCTTATCTGGATTAGGTAGACCCCTGCTCGCATAAGAAGGGTGGAACTGTGGAGGGTGAGAGACCATCCCCCAGGAATTATCCTTATCCAACAGTGGAAGTTGGACAGGTGAGTAGCCAAACATAACTGGCAAGTTTCCAGGATTCACTGGCCGGGTCCCAGACTGTTCACTATTTCCTGTAGGCATAATCTGTATCATGTCAGGTAATGTATGACCCGATGAACTGGGGGTTCCAACAGGGTTACCATCCTTCATAGGTAATGTGAAAGGTACATTCATGACATTTACTGATTGAACCGGGAATGGGTTCCCATAATTCAAGTTGGCAAGCTTAAGCTCCTTAGGCACCTCAGAAGAACCACCAACTCCAATAAATCGCTTGGATCCATCATCATGGTGTGAAACCAGCCTCGAGGTTGAACCCTCTACTTCAGACTCTGCCACATCTTCATTCTCAGCTGCGGAGCCATCTTCTGTTGTTATGGAGATGCGTGATGTTATGGGTTTTTCATGTAAATCAGTATGAAGAGCTTCTCTTTCAAGCTTCTTTTGATTGTTTATCTCATCAAACAACATCTTACGTTTACTGCCAGCTTCTGACCTCTTGTCTTCATCAATTTCAGCAGATCTGTTATTGTTTGTACCCCAGAGGCCTCTATCATTCAAGTTCTCAGAAGCTTCTGCATCAGCAGCACCCTTCAAAAGATCATTAAAGAAATTTTCTGAAGGTTTCACAGGATCATTTCTCTGAGAACCAACACTGGGGTCCTGTTTCTGATTTCCAGCTTCAAGAAAGTTTTTGAAGTCATCCACTATTCTGATGGCTTTATCACCTCCTTCTGTCCTAGTATCTGAGGAGCTACCAATCTTGCCTTTGGATTTGGCAGATGATGCTCCACATGATAGACCCAAGCTAAGCTCAAGCCCATTGTCATCCTCCATTTCATAGAATCACAGTATATTACTCTGGTTCAAGTATAACCTCTGCTAATCCTCTCTACAGAACATCCATCATAAAATAAGTAATACAACCTCAACACATGCCATAACCATCTTAAAGATACATTCCTGCACAAAAGTAGGATTTATCAGGGGAAAAACAAGAGGGAAAAGAACCTAGTTCCAAGCAACATTACTATAAATAAAATCTCAAAAACAAAACAAAAATTATTAATCTTTGGCAATGGCCTCTAAAAAACAGGAACTTTAGGCTCAACCCGATTCAATCTACCAGAATTTAACAAAACCATTTTCATAGTAGTCTTACCATACTCTAATGTGAGAAAAAAAAAATGGTTGAAAGATATCAATCCAGAAACACAAAAACAAAAGCATTATGGAAGCCAATGGAAGCTGTGATCAACTACTAAAATCATGGCATAAATTTACAAAATTCTGAGTACTCTACACTAACCAAACACTTGAAGAAAGGAGTACAAACGATTACTACTCATAAATTAATATAGGTGAGTAAAACAACTAATGGGACTGTTACTCCAAAAACATTCATATGATCAAAGAGCAATGCCAAGGCTCCATTTATTCGCGAAGTAAAGCTAGGAAAAACAAATAAATTTCAACAAAATAAAATTCTCCATGATGATAGCTGAAGATACAAAACTTAAAAAAGCTAAAAGGTTTCCTTTTTTCTTTTTCTTTCTTGAGAGGTTAAAAAAAAAACGAGCATGAGACTAAGAGTCCATATTTATTCATTTTCTATATTCATTTATCAGCAAAAAAAAGCGCACCCAGATCCATTCATTAGCAAAATCAATGAAATCAAAATCCCAGTAATGAACAGATTAAGAACATAGAACCAAACCCCGAAACAGTTTAGACAAAAATTCATAATTAGATCCAAACAAAACCAGAAACCCATTTTCAAAAATGAAAAAACTTCATCAAAACCCTCCACAGATTAAAAAAAAAAAAAAAAACTTGAAAGGAAAATAAAAATAAAAATAAAAACTGCAGAAAGCACAAAACTTTAGAACTATACAGAAAAAACCAGTAACCATAGAGAGACTTACCTGAGTGAAGAACGAAAAGATCAAAACAACCAAAGCCAAGGTTGTCTTTGCACATCACACGCACAGGCAAAGAGAACAGAACACTGAAAAATGGGAGAAAATGTTCTAAATTACCCACTTTTATTTTTAAAATTTTTTATACCATGTGATTGTCATGTATATATATATTCTTATTGCTGCTATCATCCAAACCGTACATATTTATTTCTTTTATTCTTATATCTGCCCTTGTCCAAAATCTTTGATAATTTTCAATTTCACCCCATCTTTTTGTTTTTTTGTCCTCCTATTCATGTCCCAAATACACTGGATTGACCGGAGCACTGTTGATTGTTTAACTAATTATATCCCAATCTTAGATTATCTAAATACCAGTAGTATTATTTTACTAAATTATAACCGAATCTTATATCATTTGAACAAGGACTTGTTCTCATTTTTGTCATCTTTGCTGTGTAGTTTCACTCCATCCTTTTTTTTTTTTTTCACATAAAGCAATGATCATTTGTTCTTATCTGTCTTTACAAAGATTTATCAAGAATAAAGAAAATTTTGTGACATAAGATAGATGTCAAGTTAGTGACATAAAAAAATTTTAAATATTTTTTAATAAATAAATAATATAAATAAATCTCATATTCAAAAATAATTTTTTTAAAAAAATTATTTTTTAATTTTTAAAAATATTTATTAAATATTAAAAAAACAAAAAAACCAAAAAATTTATAAAAGCAACACATGGCAGGTCTAAGATAATACGTACAATGAGCAAAATTTATCTTTTAAAATTATGAGTTAATAACTCCAAATTAGCATTGAATTGACAGCAAAGTCTAAGCCTTGTAAGATTTAGTTATGAATTTTTTTTAAAGATATAAAAGTTAAAGTCTTTGAAAAATAAATCAGTGGATGATTTATTTTTTTATACATGTATAGTCTTGAATAAATGTAAATTTTCATGTATTTAATTGTTTTAATTTGGTTTATTGAATTAAATACACTTATTTTTTTAAATGTATGTTATTATTTTACTTTTTGTAACTTTATTCTTATTTGAAAAATATTAAATATGTAGACAAAATTAAATACATTTGAAATCATACACTAATTTATTACAATTACTACTAATCTTTTCCAAAACTAATTTCTTAAATTACAAATTCTTTCCTAAACCAAATTTAGACTTAAAATGTCTAAATTTGAGATGCATAAATATGGGTTAGAATATGAGTTTGGACCAATTCAATGTTATTACTTTTTATATTTAATTTGACTACTATAAATATAAGTTTACAGTCATATAGTTAAAATATGCGTTTGAAGGTATGTTTCATAATTTCTTTCCAATTCATTTTTCTTTTTAAAATTTTTTAAACTAATTTTTTTTATTTGCTTTATTTGTTTGTAGTCCATATTTAATTTATACATGTTCTAATTTTGAATGTGATCTGATCTTTTTAAAATTGTTTCTACATTCTGTTTTTTTTTTTTTTTTTGCTTATATTGACTCTATTTTATTTATTTGTTCAAGCATCCCACACGAAAAAAAAAATTCATTTATTCGTTTATTCACTTATTTGTTCAAGTATTTTATTTATCTGCATTTCTTTGGTTTTTTTATCATCTACTGGTAATTGTCTCCAACATGTTTTTTTTTTTACTTTACAAGTTTTAATTTTCTTCTATTTTTCATTTAATTTTTTCTTCTTTGATTTACTTTGAGTGAAATGGACGAAATAGACAACACAATTTTAAATGAAGAAACGTCTATGTTACAAATTAAAAGTTACCATTCTATGTTGGATATATCTTTTAATTTTAAAGTTGAAACTGTCATGAAAAATTTTTTGCTCAATAATTTTAATCTATATTTATTATATATTGTTGATTTAGTTCCTCATTTTTTGCATTTAATTTGATAATCAAGTCAAACTTGACATGTGAATAATATTCTAAATTAAGGTGATGCATATTCAATATTTTTTTTAATAATTAATGCAATATTTAAAATCTTATATTGAAAGACCAAATTAATTATATTAATACAAATTTCCTAAGACAAACCCAATACATATTAAAATTTGTCTCTATATATCTTAATACCAATGGCATAAGATGTCTCACCCATATGTTTCATATCAAAATGTTGAAAGAGAAATTATTTCATCTCATGTAACAAACTCATATCGTTGGTTGTAAGTAAAATATCATCAACATACAAAATCAAAAAAATTATCTTGCCCTCACTGAGCTTGTAGTATATACACTGATCCATAATGTTCTAGACAAAACCAAATGAAGAAATAATATCATGAAATTTCAAGTACCACAGAAGGGAAGCTTACTTTAATCCATAAATAAACCACTTGAGCTTACAAACCAAATAATTTTGATTGCTACAGAAAACCCTTCAGGTTACTTCATATAAACCTCTTCCTTTAAATCACCATAGAAAAAAATTGTTTTCATATCCATCTAATGTATTTATAAATTAAAATGGGCAACTAATATCATGATGATACGAAAAGAATCTTTCTTAGAAACAGGAAAATAAATCTCCTTATAATTAACTCATTTTTGTGTGAATCCTTTAACAACGAATTTTACTTTATATCTTTGAATCTCTATGGTTTTAAAAAATTCATTTACAGTCAATAGCCTTCTACTTAACTAGATCCCAAACTCAATTCTTTGTCATAGAATCCATTTCATCTCTCATAGTATCATATTACAACATAGAATTACTACTATCTATAGCTCGTAAAAGCATATTTTAAGGTCATTCTCTATACCAATATCATAATCAAATTCTTTTAAGTACACAACATAATCACTAGATATTATTAACTTTTTCATATTAGTTGATCTCTTCAATATTATATCAACATTCTCTTGTTGAGTTTGTGGCTTAACAAGATTCATCTATTGTGGAGGTTGATGCTCTATAAAAACCCATTCTTGTGAAGCTTGTTGCTTAGCAGCCATTTTTTACAGAGGTTGTTACTCAATGGGATCAACTTGAATATTTTTAATAGGATGCGGTACTTCAACACTTAGTAGTTCAATGTCCATCTTATCTTGATGGATGTCATTTATAATAACTAATCTGTTACTTGATATGGGAGTTGTATAAAAAAAACATGACCATTCTCAACCATTTTGATTCCATCCATCCATAAAGAGAAAGGTTTATCACTCTATTAAATTGGTGAGTAAAATTAAATGTACAAGGATTTCAAAACTGCAATAAATAGATAGTGAATATACTTAATCTATATAATAAAATCTTTTAATCTATTAATTTTGATTTTTTTAATTTTATTTTTATTTAATCATTTTTAATAAAAAATTTAACGAACTTCACCTTAAAAGTTCCATCTAAAATTTTCCTTTCATTTTCATAAATAGATCTATTCAAATCTTAAACAAAATTTTTGATGTATCGTTTGATCAATGGAAAAAGTATATTTGTAAAATACCAAAGGTATATTTGTAAAATGCCAATATAGGTGTTTTATGGATATTACAATCGGAGGAGAATTGTTTTTGAGCTGTTTGAAGAGTTGGCTCCCAAAATAGCGAAAAACTAAGACTTTTTGCATTGAAAATAATTACAAGGTAAGAATTTTTTTTATTTAATGATATACTTAACATTTTTTCCTTTAAATTTTAATTTTAAAAATTTTTTTAACATTTTTTTGGTCAGAACACCATTTTTTATCCAATCATCAAAGGTGTGGGGATGATTGGTGGGGTCTATGAGTTTTTTTTTTAAATTTTTTTGCCAAAAAACTATTTTTCATCCAATCGTCAAAGGTGTGGATGATTGGCGGGGTGTAAGGCTCTTGCAGTACTGAAAAAGTAGAGATTAACCATGATTTACAAAAAAGATCGACTTCAAACATGACCAAGATCAGATGGACGTTGAACTACTAAGTGGGTAATTTAGTCTCACTATTTTAAAAGATTATCCTCTGTGTCATTCGAAATAGTTGTCCTCACAAACATCAATGTAAAATGTCTATGTATGTTATAATATAATATATATAATATTATATATATATATATATCTTTGATTTTATTTTGCATGTAAAGAAAAAAGAATACGAAAAGGTTATACAGAAATATAAAAAAAACTCTGTGATATTTAGAAGTTTGTTGTAGTCATGAATAAAGGTAAATTTTTCTCTATTTTCATCATTTTATTTAGATTAATATAGTCAAATTTTTTTGCTAATTTACTAGTTTAATTTTGTCAATGTGAACTAATTATCATTTCAACTTGATTTGGCAGCAAGCGACTCAATTTTTTTGGAATTCAAATATGAGCTTTCTAAAGCAATTGATGTGAGTTATGATAGTTTATTTTATTGTACGCATATTTATGAGTAATATATATGAATCTATCTTGTGAACAAAGAAAATAACATACTACATATGCCTTCTAATTTATCGTTGTGTTTTTGCCATTTGATTCAATGGTATAATTATTTCTTTTATACTATGTAAATATGTGTTCGGACTGCTTGGGGCAATTTGGAGAAAAAAGATAGAAATTAAAGAAGGCAATGCAAATTACAATTAAAAACAATCCAATTTGCTTCCTAATAGGAAAAAAGAAAAAAAATAAAAACTGAACTATATGAGCCAACTCTACTTCTCAATATTACAAAACAATCAACATAATGTGCTAAAAACTATATCCACTAATTATTTTTAAAAATAATATTAATACGAAAGGCAAATCAGTGTTTAACAGAAAGTATGTAATAAACTAAAAGAACCAAAATCTTGCAACAATAATCAAGACAATTCATTCTTGTGTACATCAAAGGATTTATTTGTGTCCCAAGTGTGTTATCAATTGAAAAAAAAAAAAAAAAAAAACTAAACAGTTTAGAGATTACATCCTTGAAAATTTTATGCCTTCTTATAATTTATCTTACATTTTATCTTGTCTTAATCATTCGCTTAAGAGTTAAAAGTCAAAAAGTTACATTCCACTCTCTAGTAGTAAAACGTGTATGTTTCAAGGAAGAGGTAAAAAAAATTGAAGCACTTTTAGTTACCAACAATCATGAGAAAATCAATATAAACAACATTTTTCCCCACCATACCTAGATTAGTAAGCCTGTACCGATAAAGAAAGGGAATCCTTTATAACAACAACAAAGTTTTCGTGTTGTTGATTTTTAGGTGTAGTGCTTCTTCTTCTATGCCGCCTATTAGTACTAGTGTAGTAGGGTTGAGCCACAATACAGACTTAAAGGTGTAACCTTTTGCTCAATACTCAATAATTGAAGTATTTGAGATTACATTAATTAGGGATACACAATAGTGTTAGGAATAATAACTTAAATCTCATAATAAATTTATTTGGGATTAGTTAGATATTACTTAATGGATAAAAAAAACTTACAGAATAAGAATTCTAAAAGAAAAAAGATTCTTAAAATGTAAGTTTTACTTGTAAAAAAAGAATTTTAAGAAGAAAATTGATTCTTAATAAGCAAGTTTATATGCTTATAAATAGGTGAAGTCTTTATAAGGTTAGGTATGAGAAAAAGATATAAGAGAGTTGTAGGATTTTATAGGATAGACATCTTATAAGAGTACTGAAGATTTATGTCTTATAGGTGTGTATATTTGTGAGTGGACTAAAGAAAATTGAGAAAGTCTACATAAATATGATGAATGGGTACATATATGTATGTGTTTGTTTATGTTAAAAGGAAAAATTGATAAGGTCTACATAGATATGACGAATGGGTACATATGGGTATATATTTGTTTATGTTAAAAGGGTGCACATAGATATGTGTTTGTTGGGGTTTAAAATATTCTATAAGACTAAAAGAAATTGAAAAGGTCTATGGGTATTGATTGTTAAGTGAGATTGATTTGATATATGTTTATAATTCTCTACAACTAGTGGATCTTATTTCTCATCCGTGGATGTAGGTCAATTAAATCGAATCACATTAAATTGTTATCTTTTATATGATTCATTGATTGTTCGATTATGCTTTTGCTGGTGTGATTGATTGAAATTTTTTAGCCTAACAAGTGGTATCAAAACTGTGGTAATTCCTAACAAGTGGTATCAGAGCTAAAGGTTTAAGACATGAGAAAAATCGATGGTTCGAGCCATGAAAAGAAGAGGCAAGCCTAAAGAAGCTTGATTAGAAAGAGAAGTTTGAGTTCATGCTTTGATAGATTGATTTACGAAAGCATGAAAACACAAAAAAAAAGATGATTGTGAGACTTTCATTATAAGTAGAGCCAAACATGTCTGTATGAAAATAGATATTTGATATAATTTGATTTAAGGTAGAGATTACTATGAATAATGACTCAAATCCTATAACAGATTTGTTTAAAATTAATTAGATATTACTTGATAGACAAAAAAACTTACAAAAAAAGAATTCTAAGAGAAAAGATATTCTTAAAAGGCATGTTTGACTTACAAAAAAAGAATTCGAAAAGGAAATAGATTTTTAATATGTAAGTTTATACGCTTATAAATAGGTGAAATCTTTATAAGGTTAGATATGAGAAAAAGATATAAGAGAGTTATAAAATTTTATAGGATGGATACCCCATAAGAATATTACGAATTTATGTCTTATGGTTATGTATGTTTGTGAGTGGACTAAAGGAGATTGAGATGATCCACATAGATATGATGTATGGGTACATATGGGTATATGTTTGTTTGTGTTAAAAGGATACACATGAATATGTATTTGTTTGGGTTAAAAATATTCTATAATACTAGAAGAGATTGAAAGGGTCTATAAGTATTGATTGTTAAGTGAAATTAATTTGATATATATTTGTAATTCTTTACAACTAGTGGATCTTGTTTATCATCCGTGGACGTAGGTCAATTAAATCAAACTACGTTAAATTATTATCTCTTGTGTGATTAATTGATTGTTCAATTATACTTCTATTGGTATGATTGGATTAAACCTTTTCAACTTAATAGATAGAAGAAATTGCTTTATTTATAAACTTCACCTTCAACAAGCATAGTTTTTTTTTTTTTTTTAAATATCTCCAATGTTGGGTTTAGCCAATAAGACCTTTATTTTGCTTGAATTGTCTTTTATTTCAAACTTTTTGGTTGAGTTTACTGATGAGTCTAATAGTGTTTCGTTAAAAAGTATAGTTTAATGATAATGCATATAATTTATATATAAGATAAAAGATATTTATAAAAATTTAAATTAAAAAGTAAGATATGTATATGATTTTAAATTGAGATAACATTTTTTTTTATTTTGAATCATAGGACAATTAGGTAAAAAAGTTGATAAACCATAAGTTAAGTCAACCATAAATTTTATTTATTTAAATTTATGAGATAACGATTTAGGGGTATATGATTTTATTGTTTGATTTAACTTTTAAAAACTGTATTTGGATTTTAAATTTCATATATTTGGGTTTTAGATTTGTTGCTTAAATTTAGGATAAAATTTATATAGATTGAAAGATTTGGATAAACTTAATTTTTAAAAATTTAAAACTTTTAAAAATTAAATAATTAATTAAATAAAATTATTTATAATTATTTTATACGTTAATAATATAAACTGTTTATATAAGATTATACGTAAACAAATCTTATTAAGTAACTTGAAATATATATATATATTATATATATATATATATGAGATTTGATGTTGAAAACTATTCAATCAATTTTGTAATATTTATCTTGTAACTTTGAATTGGGCATTGGACGATGTTACAATAATGCAAAAGGAGCAAGAAAAATGTTAGATAACAGAAAACTATTAGAAATTATCCAAATAAAAATGTTAAAGATAAACTAATTAAAGGCAAGTCGGGTCAAAAATGAAATTTTCAACACTGCAAATCATCTGTACAAATGGATAAAGGTTTGAATTTTTGAAAAAAAAAAAAAAAACCTTGGACATAGAAATAGTGAAGCAAAGACAAAAGATTTGTGTCTGTTAAACCGTCTAATTTTAATGATCAAAGATTTAATATATAACAATCTAGAATATTAAAAAAAAAAGATTTGATATAATTGGGAACATGAAATACTCATAAATATATAATCATAGTAAGATTGAGAGAATTTTTCACAAAAAATGTTATTAGCACTTCTTTTCTTTTTTTTTTTTTCATTTATCTATTATATGAATAAGTTATTTTTATGGTGTTAATTTTTATTTACAATTAAAAATTAACTGTGACAAGTAAAAAATTCTATTTGTACACTTTCATCAATAGTGATATTAGCAACCGTTGATTAATTTAATTAATAAAATTATTTGCATATATATAACAAGTTTTGGACCTCCAATGAAAAAGGTAATTCTCAATTTTTATGCCCAATTTCTTATTGAAATTTGGAACAACTATTTGATTTAAATTTTCTTTAATTTGTAAAAATATATAAGAATCAATTTCATATGCCTTTCAAAGTAGAAAATTACAAGAAATGGACAAGCCTGATTCTTTTAAAATTTATTTTCAAGTCAAATTTTTAAGATCAAGTCAAACCTACATCCTCATCCTGATCTTTATCCAAGCTTTTATTTGGTTGAAAACTTGTAAATGTAAACTCGTTTTGATGGACTTTTTTTTTTCAAAGATTTTTGTTGGATTTTTTTGTTATCTATATAGATTAAAAAATCTTAACCTTCCTAATTATGTGGCCAAGATTTTCGTAGATAAGCTGATTTCCTGTAAATCAGGATAGGATGGGTTAAATCTTGTTTCTAAATAATTGGTTCTGATCCAATAAATTAGCTGATTTAACCCAAAAAATAGGGATGAATTATCTCTTAATCCAGTTAAATAGTTGTGAGCAGCTAAAATTGGTATAAATTCAAAAATATTAATTGATTAAAGATAATACAACTCATCAGTTTCAGCAAAATCAAACTACCGTAAGAATACAGCTACGACCTTTGCATTTTCCTGTTGTCTAGTATGAAGATATAGAGTCTTCCTTGCATATCTTTCTTCATAGTTTAACTATTTATTTAATAATTAAACATGTCTGGGCTTTCATCAGATTGATCCTTAGCCTATATAACACCTTCTGGACTGACTATTTTTTGCTAGTTTTCTTCTATTAGTGCATTTCAGAGGGTGCTCGGAGAGGGAAGAAGAGAGTGGAGATATGGCTGGTGGTGGGTTTAACGAAAATAGGAATTTGAAGAGAGCTCATCTCTATGAATACAAGACTACCAGTTATTTTATCTTTGCTTGCCTTGTTGCAGCTATGGGAGGATCCCTTTTTGGATATGATCTTGGTGTTTCTGGTATGTTTTCGGCCGATCAACTGTTGTAACTCATTGGGCTTTTCATCCTGCTGTTTTTTTTTGTCTGGGTTTTGTTTGTTTCATAAATTTAGCAAATATGTTGGAACCCTTTGATCTTTTATGTTCTTCCAGATTTACTAAGTTGATGTAAAAGAACTATTATCACTTGTTGGAGTTTTAATAGTTTTTTTCTACATATATATGTTTAAGAAACCGTCTTTCATTGTTACCATGAAGAAAATGATTATATTTATTTTGAATACTATAACAAATTTACAGTATTATCGTATTTAATTGTAAAAATAAGAAATATATATTACTTGTTTTTCTTATATTTTGCAAGTTACTAGGTTTAAACACTTTTTAATATCATTAATTAATAAATATATATTATATTTATAATTAGATGATATTAATAATAATATCTTTGAATATTTTATTTATTTTCTCATTTTTACATTTTTAAAAAATAACTTTTATTTTCATTTATCAAATATATTTTTTTAGAAAACATAAAATAAAAAATAAAAATTATTTTCAAGAATTTAAAAATAAAAATTATTTTCTCAAACCATATAGAACCTAAATTTTTCAAATCGATCAATATTATCTTTTCTTCCCTTACAGATTATGTGCTCTTATTTTATTTTATGTTTATGGGGAGATTTACGTACCTTGATCCACACGAGGACAGTAGCATGCTTATTTCAAGGTGGTGACAGTTTGCCTTAATGTTGGTTGCAGGTGGAGTGACTTCCATGGATGATTTCTTGAAGGAATTCTTTCCAAAAATATATAGAAGGAAACAAGCACGCCTTCGCGAAACAGACTACTGCAAATATGATAATCAGCTCCTCACTCTTTTTACGTCTTCACTATACTTTGCAGGCCTCATTTCAACATTTGGAGCCTCCTATTTAACCAGGAAAAAAGGACGTAGAGCCAGCATCCTCGTTGGTGCAGTCAGCTTCTTTCTAGGAGGAGTCATCAATGCTGCTTCTGTGAATATCCCAATGCTAATCATAGGACGCATTTTTCTTGGTGCTGGCATCGGATTTGGCAATCAAGTAAGAATAAAGCTCAAAGCTCCTTAACCTGAAAATATTATGGTAGTTTCTCAAGTCACTAATTCTTTTCTTATGCTAATGACACAGGCAGTTCCCTTATATCTGTCTGAGATGTCTCCAGCAGAGCATCGAGGAGCTGTGAACCAGCTTTTCCAATTGACCACCTGTTTGGGGATCCTTGTAGCAAATTTGATCAACTACGGAACTGAGAAGATCCATCCATGGGGTTGGAGATTATCTCTTGGCTTAGCTACAGTTCCAGCGACAATGATGTTTGTTGGGGGCCTTGCTCTTCCTGAGACCCCTAACAGTCTTGTAGAACAAGGTAGATTAGAAGAGGCTAAAAGGGTGTTGGTAAAAGTCAGAGGTACCCCAAATGTTGATGCTGAATTTGCTGATCTTGTTGAGGCCAGCGATGCAGCACGGGCTATAAAGCACCCATTCAGGAATCTTCTGCAGAGGAAGAATCGTCCCCAGTTGGTATTAGGGGCTTTGGGAATCCCAGCTTTCCAACAGCTCACCGGAATGAACTCCATTCTCTTCTATGCTCCTGTCATGTTTCAGACCTTGGGTTTTGGCTCAGGGGCATCCCTTATTTCCTCTCTCATAACTAGTGGAGGACTTGTACTTGCTACATTAATTTCAATGGTTTTAGTGGACAGATTTGGTAGAAGAACATTCTTTTTAGAAGCTGGTGTAGAGATGTTCTGCTGCATGGTAAATTAGAAATATTTTTTTGGCATTTGTTTTTTCGACTTTTCTGTAACTAATTTGCAGGCACCATTATTATTTATCAGTATGTACTACTTTGACTTTCTGATCCAGGTGATCGTGGCCATAACTCTGGGCTTAAAGTTTGGAGAAGGAGAACAACTCTCTAAAGCCATTGGTGCGTTCCTCGTATTTATTATCTTCTTGTTCGTTTTAGCTTATGGAAGGTCTTGGGGTCCTCTGGGGTGGCTAGTTCCAAGCGAGCTCTTCCCCTTGGAGACTAGGTCAGCCGGCCAAAGCATGGTGGTCTGTGTCAACCTCCTTTTCACAGCTTTGATAGCACAATGTTTCTTGGTGTCACTTTGTCATCTCAAATATGGAATTTTCTTGCTATTCGCTGGCCTGATATTCATAATGAGCAGCTTCATTTACTTCCTCTTGCCTGAAACAAAGCAAGTTCCAATAGAGGAAGTCTATCTTCTCTGGAAGGATCACTGGTTCTGGAAGAAATATGTTGAAGCTGATGAACCCACCAGTGTATAACACTAGGAAAATTCTTTGCTCACATCCTTTGCTTTCAAGATTCTCTATTAAATATTTTACTGTAATTTTTTTAAGGACTTCGGAGTCGGGAGAAGTGTAAAACAATCTAATCTCTATCTTTATTCGAAATTATATAAATTTTTACTTTCGGTACTTGAACAGTGTGATTGATTTTCGTGAAATTAAAAATAATAATAAAAATTATTGTATTCATAATTAAAAAAAAATTTATAAAAACATTTATTTTAATAGATCTCATTAAAATTAAAATTAAATTCAATTAATAATACAATGAACTCATTGTATCATACTGAAAGTGAATTGAAATTCAAATTAGGGATATCAGTTTCATCATAACGAAATATTCAGTCCTCCCCCTAACTATAAATCTTTTGGACAGCCACAGCGTCTAGCAGACCAGGCAAAGGCAACTCTCTTTCATGCTTGTGTCAGCGTCCAAAGTAGCATCATCTTGCGCAACTGCAGACCCTCTCCGTACAAGGTGCACGGATACTTGCTGGCCCATAATGGGCCTGTCCCAGCTAAAAATGGGTCGAGTTTCTTTAAGGGCTTGATCCATTTCTGATTATGTGGAGGCAATTCAAAAGAATCGAACACCATCTTTTCTTAGGGGGCAGCAATGGAGCCCAGCCCGTCTATGGCCTAAGTATGGTTGTATGTCCAAACGGCGAGTACGGCGGTTCCCTTAGCTTTGTCGGCATCAGTTTCGGCGTCTCCGTGTAACTGTACTAGAACTCGGATGGCGCACCGTCGGTGACTAAAGAGAAACCACAGTCGCCGACGTCGACATTCGCGGGTTTCTTATGGAGTTGCGTGGGTGGCGGAGGGTTTGCTGTTTTGGAGAATTTGCGAAACGTTGGGAGTTTTGGCGGTTTCGCTTACTTAGATTTCTAGCCTGGAATTGAAGGACAGAAGGAGAGGAAGGGGAGCCTAAGAATTTGTATGTTTCCGGTGGTGCAAGTGTGTTGGAGGAGGAGTCGATGGTGGTTGCAATTTTGGCGGCGGAATCGAAGCATTTCTCGGCGTTGGCGTTGTTCCAGCAGTAGAATCTGACATCCTTCGGTGTACAACGGGCAGGTTCGCTCCGATTAGGATAAGCGTTTGATAGTGGTGCTGGGAAAATTGGGAATGAGATGGGCAATTTTCGCGCCATTACTTTTAGCTTTAAGTATGAAGGAAGAAGAATTCAACGATGTCGTATTGCAAGATTACCCATTTTTCCCTTTTTTTTTTTTTAGCTCTTTGGTGAAAAACTGCAAATATCTTATTTATGGTGGGAAATGGAAGGAGGGGCTCCTTTTATATTGGCTTGATTGTAATATTTGAAGGACATGAGGGCAATTATTGATTATCGGTCATGATTAAAAACACAGCTCAGCTAAGAAGTTCCCAGTAAGCTGAAGTGAAAGCTTGACAGACGGTGGATGAAGCTTTGAACATGCAGATTTTATTTAGGTACTTTTTCCTGTCTGTCATACTAAAAGTCAAATCTTTTGCAACCATTTTCTTTTGATTTGAGAAAATATTCAGAAAAATTGGTACATTTTGTATGGTGCTATGCTTTTGTTCTCACAAGCCTTTGTAATTTTCTTTTACCTAGATGAATAGATTGTAGATCGTTATCAAGAATGAGGCTTGGCATGGTTCATTCCTTATTTTCTTGGTTGCTTGCCTTTTCTTTATCGTTTCTAGCTTTGATAATCTACTGTTTTGTAGTATAATGTAGAAAATTCCATAGGCCACAGCAGGCAAGATTTCACCCTTTTGCTCATTCTTGTAGTTTTTGTAATCTACATTAAAAATTGCCGAATGATTCATGGAGTTGCAGATGTTGAACTCTGACTTCTTTGTATTGAGTCTATGGATATAAATATCTAACTGAAGCTCTGTTTTTTATTTGCTAGTTTCAATGCTTGATTCACATTGTGATCATTCAGCACATGGCTATGGCCTATGAGATGTAGGGTTTCAGGATTCTAATTTTTGTGTCTACGGTAATTCATGCAACTTTGCTGCTGACTAGTATGGATATCTTTGGCCTAACTCTAAGGTTGTTTCGAGCTGAGATCCGAAAACTGCTATTGATCATTGGTACAGTTTCTATCGTAATTATTTTTCAGTGTATTGCACTTCCTTACGGGAAAGTATTTTCTTCATTACCTGCTAATAAGAGTTCAATAGTTAGCAATGCCACTATTTTAAATAACTTGAACACGGTTAAACTCTTTGTTAATGTGGTGGCAAATGATGCTAATGGCTCTGATTCCGAGGAAGAAGCTAGGTACTGGAGGAATACACCAGTAGCAAATATGGATACTGATTTGGCCTCTGAAGTTGACGGATACCTTGGTGATTCTTTTCATAAATTCAAGGATCAAAATTCTTATGATTTGACATCAAAGCAGAGGAAAACCCAGGGTAAGAGTTTGATGACTTTATACAATACTAGTACTGATAATAGTTCTACTCAAGTGAAGGCTGCAGAAATTCAACATGATCACTTCGGGATGGTGGAAGAAACAAAAAACAGTGAGAAAATGAGCAATCATCCAAAAGCCACTACTGGCTATGGTATTGTGCCGTTTATATCATCTGTAGTTGCCACTGAAGGTCTACAAAACTTGGATCCTAATTCAGGGACTTCTGGCTCATTTTTTGGTGCCAACTTATCTTCGCTGAGCAATACCAAAAGATCTATTGAAACACAACATCGGAATTCTAAACCACTGCAAAATGCATCAGCCCTTATAGACAATTATTCTACAAAAGCTATTCCTTTATTGAAGAGATGGGATAAGAAGCCCATATCAGTATCCCAGATGAATTCATTATTGCTTCAGAGTACTGATTCTTCTCGTTCTTCGGTAAGAATCACAGTCCCAAGTTCTCAAATGAGCAACAGGATTCTGTTAAAATTCTGGATTTTTAACTTATTTCTTTCTTGGTAATAGAGACCAAGACGGTTTTCAGCACGTGATCGTGAACTTCTATCTGCAAAACAAGAGATTGAGGATGCTCATGTTTCAAGAAAGACTCCAGTGCTTTATGCGTCTGTTTATTGGAATATTTCCAAGTTTGAGAGGTGAGTGTTTGACTTATTTTTGCAAAATGTCCATGTTTAAGCTAACTTCTACAATTTTGATGGCTATATGCAAATCATTTGCAGGAGTTATGAGGTGATGGAACAAATACTCAAAGTTTACGTATATAGAGAAGGAGCAAAGCCCATATTTCATCAGCCAATGATGAGGGGAATTTATGCCTCAGAAGGATGGTTTATGAAACTCATAGAAGGAAACAAAAAGTTTGTTGTGAAAGACCCTAGAAGAGCTCATTTGTTTTACTTACCCATTAGTTCAAATATGCTAAGGACCGCACTGTATGGACAAGATTTTCAAAATTTCCAGGACCTACAGAAATACCTTAAGGATTATGTTGAATTTATTGCTGGAAAATATAGCTTCTGGAACAGAACTGGTGGTGCAGATCATTTTCTTGTTGCTTGTCACGATTGGGTATGCTATCCCTGCATCATCTGCATATAACTCTCATAGTACTATAATCATTGAAGTAAGAACCTGATAGATACCATTTCTTTTAGGATTCTTTTTGTGTGTAACAAATAGAAGTAGTTGAGAGCTTATACTTGTATGTTTTACACACCTTGTAGACTTGGTTTAGATAATGTCCTCATCTCGAGTACCATAAACGGCAAGCATTTCTTAATATTAATTTGCAAGCCATAAGGTACCCTACCTAATTCATGAACTACAACACACTTATTGTTTAGTGGAGTTTCACAAATATTAGTAATATATACTCAGTTACTAGTACAAGACTGTCAAATTCCAACTTGATTATTGCTAAAAGCATCAACTATCTTTTAAAATCCTCTTCCTTCTTCCAGAAAAGTGAAGTCCTAGTGCTTGAATAAATCTGAAACTTGTAGCATTTTGCGGAAGTATTGTTAATATTATTGTTTATTTTTCTTTTGCCAAATTCCCAAGTGGTAGCTTAATTGATGTGACATATGGAACTTCAGGCGCTCAAATTGACAAAGCACATAAGTTGTCTTAGAGCTCTTTGCAATGCCAATGCTGCTAAAGACTTCAAAGTAGGGAAGGATACCACTCTTCCAGTTACGTACATACGTTCTGCAGAGGCTCCTTTGGAAAATCTTGGAGGAAAGCCTCCCTTAGAGAGAAATACTCTGGCCTTCTTTGCTGGGGGGATGCATGGTTATCTCCGACCAATCCTGCTGCTGTACTGGCAGAATAAAGAACCTGATATGAAAATCTTTGGACCAATGCCTCGCGATATTGAAGGTAAGAGAAATTACAGAGAGCATATGAAGAGCAGCAAGTATTGTGTATGTGCTAGAGGTTATGAGGTTCATACGCCAAGAGTGGTTGAGGCAATTTACTATGAATGCGTGCCAGTTATCATATCAGACAACTATGTGCCACCATTCTTTGAGGTGTTGAACTGGGAGACCTTTGCAGTTTTTGTACAGGAGAAAGATATCCCTAATTTGAGAAACATTCTGCTCTTTATACCTGACGAGAAGTACTTGGAGATGCACTCAAGACTAAAGCTGGTGCAGCGACATTTCCTTTGGCACAAAAAGCCAGTGAAGTATGACTTATTCCATATGATCCTTCACTCGGTCTGGTACAACAGAGTTCTTCACATAAAAACCTGATGAAGGTTTTTATTCTTGAAGTTTCTTGGAACTGGGAAATAAAGAAAGGGGGCATAAACCATAAGCGAATTGCTGATGTTTTTGCCATGAACTGATTTACGGAGACTGAGAGGAACAAATTATTCAGTTCAGTGTATTTGAAATGAAGCTGGCTGATATTATTAAAAGTTCGGTGAACAACTTGAGAACCAGTCGTTGTATGGCCTTTGCAGCTGTCACTGATGGTGCAAGATGGTGCAAAAAGGCAATAGCTCGTTTGTCATATATTAAACTTATTTCCATGCGTCAACCGTGTAAAGCCAATGCAGTAGCTGCCGTCATTCACCTGTTTTTCAGCTATTTAGCTGCTCTTCAAGTTTCTTGGCTGTAAATATGACGATCCTGTTGTGTCTTGAATTCTTAACCAAACTGATTATTCTTACACGTGGGTGTATGCTCATAGTCTAATGTGAATGTCAGTCAAGCAAGGGAACTTAAACGGATTTCATTGTCCTTTTCATAGATTTCAGAGGAGTATTAATTTGATGAAATTAACACATTTCTTCTACTAATGCGGCCTAAGCATGGTGCAGTTCAGACAAAATGTCTTTTTCTTTTCCTGTAAGATTAATGGCTGTTCTTAGTTTACTCTGGAAGCTACTGTTGGAAAGAGAATTTAGTGATTCCACTAGACCTTTTGTAGGGCATGAAAACTATTAGTTGCCCATTGATTTTAACCAATAATTGAAGGCTGCCTATTAATATAATAGAAATGAACTAACAATGGATGGTAGGGTGTTTATCCCATAGTTTTTCGTTCGATACCCTGAAAATATCTGCAAGTGATTGAACTGAATCCAAAATCGAGATCAATCATAGACCTGATCCATTTGCCAACCAAACAAAACATCAGTTTTCTTGCACGAAACTGAACAGAACACTTGAAAACAATCATTAATGTAAGAAACAGGACTAAGAATATTTCAGCTTTTGCTCTTCCTTGTTTTTCTATTCTTACACAAGTCTTTCAATTTTCATGGAGAACTCCTTGACGGCATCCGTCCACGCTTACCAATTTTTTTTTCCCAGTACGCCACGTGTGCAACCATGGAAACAAGACCAATCCACTGATACAGGATTAATACAAAACAAAATTTGAGGGCCCCATATCCATGCTTTGCTTGCTTCATACTCAATAGATACCCAACCAAGTCACCCCTGGTGCAGTTCTAACTCCTCAGTTTCCGGTTTCTGCAGTCATACCGCACGTGAACTTCTTTATCACTTTATAAGCAAGAAGGGTAATGATATGATTATAATAGCTGACAGTTAATGATAAATCTATATGAAATTTAAGAAAGAATCACGTGGATGATTGTAGATTATATTTAATGATTTTAGGTTAATGTGGGTTATACGTAATGGTCTAAACAAATTAAAAGTCAATCAATTTTATTATGAAATGATATCTTGATAGAATATCACTGAAAGTAGTCCCCTCTTTATCGGCCGCCAATTCGATTTGTGACGCGAAGTCTTGATGCCGGCGTTCACTTGTGGTGCACTGATGGTTCCAGGCTTTAGGCAAACCATATAGGAAGCTTGAGTCCTTGACCATGCATGCCAGGTAATGGTTTAGTCTTCATGATCCTGACACATGTAAAATGCTATTTTTAAGTAAAGGAAACTGGTAAATAGTCCATTAACATTCAACAAGACTAAGTATTCGTCTTAGACTCTTACTCAACTTTTAATTTTTGTATCTGTACCACTAATTAATTCTATAATATAAAGGTTGCAATTCTTGTACTTATTTTTCTTTGGTATACAATGAGCAAAATTTTATCAAAAATTAATTTAATTGATTTAAAGATGGTATTTAGCATATTTAGCACTTAAATACTATCACCTAAAATTTTTTTCTCTAATTTCAAACTACACAACTTAAAAAAAAAAAAAAAGGATAAACTATTGATGGTGTTTGAATGTGGGCCTGAATAATTTTCCAACAATGTGGATGGAAAAGGGCCCTCAGAACCAGGCTTGCATTATTGCTTCGCGACAAGAACATAGTGAGATTACCCCATTGCCCCTCCCAATTGAGTTGCGACAGCCAACTTCCCAAGCAAAGCCTGGTGCTTGCCACAATGCATAAAAATAGCCAAGAGAATTGACCATGGTTCTTTGCAAACAAATCATTGCAATTTACATTTGGTAAGAGGTTACATATTTATAGATTGGTTTCTATGTTGGTCCATAATGAAATGATACTTGTTCTGCCAAGTCCAAGCAATAAATTTGATAGGCCAAAATGTTTCCCCAGCCCATTAACTATTCATGTCTTCAAAGTGGCCAATTACCGAAGAGATTACCATTAAATAGAGAATAATGACCAACTCAAACACCAATAGCTTCATTGAAAAGAGATTTCAATTATAGCCACCTACTTAGATTTCATTTGAATTGCGTCCTAAGAGAATTCTTGCCGGTCAATGCATCTCATTTTAGGACTAAATTTTTAAAAATTTAATCATAAAAACGTTGTTATGATACAATAAAAATAACTCTTATCATAGTGTCAAAAAATTATTAATTATCTCATCTTTGTTAAAATATAAGTATAATAATATGCCTTCTCCTATGTTCCAAGGAAATATAAGCACGAGCCAATGAAATTAACAGTATAGTATCATTTTTTTTAAGATTTTTTTGAGAATTTTACTACTATTAATTTAAATATTTTAGTATGGTAAATGATAAAAAAAAAATAGAAAAAGGATTTTGGTTGTGCATTCCTTACCCACAGAATCAAATTTTAACGACAAATTAACGTTAGCTAGAACTTTTCTACCCTAAATTGTTGGTTTTATAAACAGATGATAAAAAGAGATTTTTTTTTTTAGAATGATTCACTATTTTTTTAACAACACCAGAAAACAATGGTTTTAAATGGAGAGGATAATTATCAAATTGAAAAGGAGGGGGAGGGATTTTATTGTGAAGGTCAATCATAGAACAAAACAAAAGAAAAAAAAAATCCCCCAAAGAAAGATGAAGCAACATTTATATATATATATATATATATATATATAGATATATCAAATGGTCCAATATATATTTTAGTTCTCCAATAAATGCTATGAACTAAACAAAACTATTAGAGGGGTCTTAGTTTCCTCGACTTCACATTCATTTCTACCCCCAAATTATCAAAATAATTCACTCAAAAATTTTTTTTTTAAATTGTTGCATCAAAAAGGGCCAATAGACCATAAAGTGTAAACATCTCGTTTAATTTGGTGTATTTTTTAATCTAATTTTAGGATTTTAGTATTTTGTTTAGTTTAAGATTATTTATTTTGTTAATTAATGATTTATTTTTTTTCAAAGGAAAAAGGAAAAGTTTGATTCAATTTGAAGTCTAGTGTTCTAATTAAAAAAGGGAATATATTGATTTGAGATGTGAACTTAGATTAAAAATTTTAAATTGACTTTGATTAGGAGATTAAAATCAAGAAAATATTCTTTTATTGTGATTTGAATTAGAAGCCTACAAAAAGACTCCATTAGGATCAATTAAATACAATCAATAATCAATTAGAAAAAATAAGAGAGAAAGAGTAAAAAAAAGTAAAAAAATTAAGAGTTTTTTTTATAATATTTTTTGGTGTTTTGGGTTTAGATAATTAAAATTTTCTCTTGAGAATTCTGTGTTGAGAAAAGGAATTGAGAAAAAATGCGAAAAGGAGTCATTCAACAAAAAGTTTTTATAGCAAAATTTTTAAAAGTTTCAAATATATATGTTTTAGGTTTCTGTTTGATTTTTGTTTTAATCAAAAAGAAAGGCAATCATCATAGGTGAGGGGCACTAGCAAAGCCATAGATTGTTTTGTTGAGAAACAAGAAAAAAGATAAAGTAATTTCTACTTTGTTTCTTCTTTATTTGTATATTTATTTATGTTATTTAGTTGTTTCTTTTTCTTCTTTTATGCATATTTAACATAAAATTTTGTAATAAATTAATGATTTTTACTAAATGATTGGAGGATTTAAATATTGAATTATGATTCTACCAAACGATTAGAGAATTTCATAATAAATTTTCAAAAAATAATTTTTCAATCTTACCAAATGATTGGAAGATTCAAATTTTCATTAAATTTTACCAAACTATTGGAGGATTTAATGATTTTTTCAAAAGAAATTTGTGAGATTTTCAAATAAAAATCCCACCAAACGAGTGGAGGATATGCATTGATATAAAACCATACCAAACGATTGAAGGATTTTATTGATTGATTTCAAAAAAATAATTTTTTAAAAAATATGTTAATGAATTCAAAGACGGAGCCTCTTCAAAATAAGACATAAGTCTCTATGAATACTCTTAAGATAAAGAAATTATTTTAAATTACTACTAAACAATTAGAGTAACTTCAAGACCAATTTCTAATAGTAAATTTACTTGGTAAAAATATAAACATGTTCAAAGGCTTGGATAATATAAAATCAAACCGGTACCATCTTTTGATAGACATTGTAAGGGTGCTATAATCTTTCTCACATGTAATTGTACTATCGAACCTAGATTTAGTTTTGTAGACATGAATTTACCTTTTAAAAATACCTAATTCAAGCTTGGGATTATTCTTTAAAATGAGACAGATTTAGTAAGTGATCAATTACACCTAAATAAAGAATATTGATGGCGACTCATTAAAGTCAGACAAAGCAGTAGCTCTATCGATGTATACATTATGATAGTTTGACAACTCTACTGGTAAAGTCAAAAGTCAGGCCAGTAAATGAATTTGTGTCATCCAAGCCAAATGTTTTCCCTAAAAAGATTATTTTCATGATTTATTTTTCAAGCTTTTAATATTTTGTCATCCATTTACATGTGTATAACATGAGCTCTATACCTCAGCTTCATCCCTTATAAGAAAGTAAGGTACCTATACTTTTATGAGATTTCATATCTTTACCTAGGCTAACGAAATACTCTCACTCAAATTAAACATTTTTTATTTATAGCCTATGATAAGCAAGAATTGAAGTGTCTTACTAGTCTGTAATAAACAATAATGTAAGAAATAATTTTTAAATATTTAGATTTAACTTAAACCATATGTAATTAACCCTAAAAAGCCTTTCCTAGGTGAAAACCATATCCACCCATTATTAGAATGTAACCCAAGTTAAAACACATGAACAAACTTTTGTATTTTCATTTGTATGAATTTTGTGATAAAATTGAAAGAGTTTGAGTTTTATTCACTCTTTTATGCGTTGTTGTGTAGCATTTATACATTTATTCATCCATACATCATTGAATTTTTATGTATCTAGCATCTAATGCATGATTCATCCATTCATACATCATAACATAATCATGTTAACCTAGGCAGTCATTTGTTCATTCATACATCATTATAGGGTAAACATTAACTTATGCATCTATTCATGTAGTCATTTATTCATTTATACATCATTATGAGACAAACATTAACTTATGCATCCATTCATGCAGTCATTTTTCAATCCATGCATCATTAAATTGTTATGTAAATGCATTTATTTATCTATTTA